AGCTCTTATAGGGTTACTGCCGGTCCCAAGCCCGGGTAAAGGAGGAGGGTTGGGCATGGGGTTAGCGTCCCCATCCCGTAGAAAACTAACTCGCTAAAAAAACGCTTACCAGAAAAAATATCCAAACCATTTAAACTCTGCCCTGGGAGTTAGAAGGTCTTCAGTTAGAAGAATTATGACGCTTCATGGTGAAAGCCGAGTTCCTTCGGAAGCCACGAGGCCGATGCCCCTTCTAACAACCAGAGCAAAAATTTTTATAGGTACATGGAACGTTCGAACAATGTGGGAAACCGGGAAGACCAGTCAAATAGCAATGGAAATGAGGAGATACAACTTAGCAGTACTGGGAATCAGCGAAACCCACTGGACCCAAGCTGGACAGAAAAGGCTAGCTACGGGAGAGATGCTGCTATACTCCGGTCACGAAGAGGACAATGCTCCACACACTCAGGGAGTCGCTCTTATGCTGTCCAAAGTAGCACGAAATGCACTTGTAGGATGGGAGTCTCACGGATCCAGAATCATCAAAGCATCATTCAAAACAAAGAAGGAGGGGATCTTAATGAATATTATCCAATGTTATGCACCCACCAATGATAGCAACGACGACATTAAAGATCAGTTCTACGAGCGGCTACAGTCAATCATTGAGAAATGCCAAGAAAGGACCTAACTATTCTGATGGGAGATCTAAATGCCAAAGTCGGAATAGACAACACCGGATATGAAGATATCATGGGACGACATGGACTGGGACAGAGAAACGAAAATGGAGAAAGATTTGCAAATCTATGTGCATTCAACAAATTGGTCATAGGAGGCACAATATTTCCACACAAGCGTATACACAAGGCTACATGGATCTCACCGGACCACACTACAGAGAACCAAATAGATCATATTTGCATCAACAAAAAATTCCGAAGGACAATGGAAGATGTGAGAACCAGGAGAGGTGCTGACGTAGCTTCAGATCACCACCTAGTTGTAGCCAATTTAAAACTGAAGCTAAAAAGAACTGGACAAGTGGACAAACAGCACTACAAAGGTTCAATACAGCCTTCCTTCGAGATACTGACAAACTCAATGAATTCAAGATAGCTCTCAACAACAGGTTCCAAGCCTTACAAGATCTACTGAAAGAAGAAGAAACTAGTATGGAGGACAACTGGAAAGGCATCAAGGAAGCATTAACTTCAACGTGTCAAGAGGTTCTGGGCCTAAAGAAACACCATCATAAGGAATGGATCTCTATAGAAACACTGGACAAGATCAAAGAAAGGAAGAACAAGAAGGCAGCAATTAACAACAGCCGAACACGAGCAGAGAAAGTCCAAGCACAAGCTGAATACATAGAAGCAAACAAACAAGTGAAGAGGAGCATTAGAGCCGACAAGAAGAAATACGTGGAAGAACTAGCAACGACGGCAGAAAAAGCTGCTAGAGAAGGAAATATGAAACAGCTTCACGATACAACGAAGAAACTAGCAGGGAAATACAGTAAACCAGAGAGGCCGGTCAAAGACAAAGAAGGCAAGCCAATCACCGAAATTCAACAACAGCGTAACAGATGGGTGGAATACTTCGAGGAACTCCTGAATAGGCCGGCTCCAATGAATCCACCGGACATCGAAGCAGCACACATAGATCTTCCTATAGATGTCAACCCACCAACGACGGAAGAAATTAGAATGGCCGTCAGACAAATCAAGAACGGGAAAGCAGCAGGACCCGACAACATACCAGCTGAAGCACTGAAATCAGACATCGAAGCAACCACAAGCATGCTTACCTTCTATTCAAAAAGATTTGGGAGGAGGAACAAGTGCCGATGGACTGGAAAGAAGGACACCTCGTCAAGATTCCAAAGAAAGGAGATCTGAGCAAATGTGAAAACTACAGAGGCATTACACTACTGTCAATACCAGGGAAAGTCTTCAACAGAGTGTTGCTGAACCGGATGAAGGATGCAGTAGACGCCCAACTTCGAGATCAACAAGCTGGATTCCGTAAGGATCGGTCGTGCACAGACCAAATTGCAACACTACGGATCATCGTCGAACAATCAGTAGAGTGGAACTCATCACTATACATCAACTTCATTGATTATGAAAAGGCATTCGACAGTGTAGATAGGAGGACATTATGGAAACTTCTTCGACACTACGGAGTTCCTGAGAAGATTGTCAACATTATCCGGAACTCATACGACGGACTACAGTGCAAAGTAGTGCATGGAGGACAGCTGACAGATGCATTCCAAGTAAGGACTGGAGTCAGACAAGGCTGTTTACTCTCTCCCTTCCTCTTTCTTCTGGTGGTCGACTGGATTATGAAGACCTCGAAATCTGAAGGAAAACACGGAATACAATGGACAGCTCAGAATCAATTAGACGATTTGGACTTCGCAGACGACCTAGCCCTCCTATCACGTACACACGAACAGATGCAGATGAAGACAGCCAGTGTAGCAGCAGTCTCTGCATCAGTAGGCCTCAGCATACACAAAGGGAAAACCAAGGTCCTCAAATTCAAAGCGGAAAACAGCAATCCAATCACTCTTGATGGCGAAACTCTGGAAGATGTAGAGTCCTTCACATACCTAGGAAGCATCATCGATGAACAAGGAGGTTCAGATGCAGACGTAAAGGCGAGGATCGGCAAAGCAAGGGTCGCATTCCTACAATTGAAGAACATATGGAACTCAAAACAACTTTCAACCAATATCAAAGTGAGAATCTTCAATACGAACGTCAAGGCAGTTCTACTGTATGGAGCTGAAACTTCAGTCCATGGACGAAACCGCTACTTATCGAAAGTGTAAACCCTTTCTAGCGAGGGGCTCCTGTAGTGACCTACTTTTATCAAGAGAACACGATTAATGTAATGAAAACAATTATCATAACCAATGGCACCAGGGATTGTTTTACCGTACTTGTTTGTTTAACTGTACCAAAATACATACCTTCTCTATGGATTGTGACCTTGCACGAGCTTACGTTTGCTCAGTAGTTCCGCTTGTACTCTTTTGGCACGATCCCGGTATTCTTTCGATACCACGAGATCGCCAACAAATACATCTCGACTACAGCCATCAACTGCCTTCTGATATTTGGCCTACAGGGGATCTTATCGGTTAACTGGCGCGTAGTCTTCCTGTAGCGGTGATCATAGTCGACTCGATGCTGCACTACAATCTCATGACTGACATGCGCTGAGATAGAGTGTATGTTGATTGTAAACAATAAGTGAAGTATATTATTCCCACAAGTAGGTTTTCGGACCTGTTGAACCCATCCCAAAATTTCTATTGTTTAAACTAGCTTGTTATATCGACCTGGTACCGGAGTCGAACCCTCTGATGATTTTAAAAGTATGTGGTTGGTGCGAAGCAATGGAGATGTTTGTTAGTAATCTGTCAAACTTAGTATCCGCATGTGGTGGTCTTTGTATGCATCCCACCAGTAGATAATTTTGAGATCTACAGTTCACAGTAACCAAAGTGGATTCGTCTATAGTATCAAGAGATTAGTCCTCGAATTCGCACGTCTGAATGTCTGAACGGACATAGATAATTGTACCGATACTCCTGATCCATAACACCTATCGGTTCTAAAGAAAACATAGTTATCTACATTCAATGAGTGATCCGACATAGATGAATTGCACCGTTTCCGTAATAAGTACAATGGTTGGATCTACAAGGAATGAAAGGGTTTTAAGGTGAGTAATTTTATAGGACAGAGAGCGGGCTTTGAACAAAAGAATAAGCAACTGAGCGTTATCATGGTGAAGCAGGTTAGAGTAAAAACTGCAATTGGTAGTTTCATGAATACTCTTAGAATTGGTAAGAGTTGCGAAAGTTAGAAATTCACTGGCGTCTACAGATGAGTTGAATTTGAAAAAGATCGGTGAGCGCATACCAGGATGACTTCTTTTTAATCTTGTGCATACACATGGTACCTGTGTCATATTGCTGGCTCTAAGCAGACTAGATTTGATATTTTTAAGGGCATATGTGTCCGGTATATTAAACACAATTGTATTGCTAGATCGTCGTATTCTTTCAAATACCTCTGATACAACGCGACCTAGGGAATTATCTATGTCATATACTTGACCCGGAGTCTCTGTGATGTTGGGGCTGATGAGATACTTAAACGGATTGAGAATGTTCATGTCAACTTGCAACTTTATTATATAATCCATATGGTTGCAGTTGCGATTACCATCATTGTTTACCAACAGAGTCTCCAACACCTCTGGAATAGAGACAACTGGTAAAAGCTCGTCTGCTTCCGGATGAACGGAGTAGCTCGTTTCATTGTACCTTTCGGAATTCTACTTTTTACAGGTACTCATGAGGTGAGAGCTACATTAACCCTTACACTTTGTCTCCTGTCATGGAGAAGGCTACTTATCCAATCTACTACTGTATAACGGATTCCAAAACGCTCCAGTTTGAATTTAAGACCAAAATGGGAGACCTTAGCGAAGGCCTTACTTAGATCTATGAAGATCACATCAATAGGAATATTCCGATCTTCTGTTGCAGCTCAATCTTCCCTTGGGATGAGAAGATTTATCAAGCATGATAGGCTACTCTGAAAACCATTTTGTTCCCTGAAGAAAAGATTACGCCCTTCAACATTGTTTATGACAGATATCCGAATGATTTTTTCCATCAGTTTTACAACCGCACTAGTTAAGCTAACGGGTCCATAGTTGCTAACTAAATCCTTATTCCTAGCCTTATACACCGGACTTATTATTGCGTCTTTCTAGTCTCTGGGCAGTTTGGACTGCCTCAGAGACATGTCAAACAGTATCGATAAAGGTCCAGCGATTAACCCTTTTATTAGAATATCGGATACTCACAAAAACTTACTAAAAGAGAGATGACTCAGAAAATCAGTCTTAGGTTCTTAAGACACAAACCTGAAATTTGGATTTCTGAAATACAAAGTTTGAAGTGACTTCTACACAACGTTATCCTTGTTAGCTTTGTAGCGAGGGCAATTCGGATAGTGAGCTACTTTTCATTCCTGATCATAATAAACGCATTTTGAAATGAGACCTGACAGTCTTTGTGGCAAAATATCGGCGAAGATCAATAAGCTATTTTGTGAAACTACAGGTTAGTCGTCTTCCAGCCTAACGTTATTATATCTAGACTTGGATGAACAGTTAAGAACTGGTCACGAAATCTGTGATTGTTTAGAGGTAAGCTTTTTTCAATGTTGATAAAAGTTTAGAATGCGGCCGCGGAGAGAGAAATTCAGGATCTGACATTCGTAATCCACGATAAGATACAGTATTATCTGATGTCAACAAGGCCAGATAACTTACAAGAGTCTGACACTCAACAGCTTCGTCGTTTATGTCTTGAAATCATCCAGAAAATCCCAAATGGTGATCATTTAAGACCTTTTGCTCGATCTCTTCTTGAAATGTTGTTTAAACTAGTGGAAGTATGAATTTTTCTACTCACTATTTCACCCTGTAGGTTGAAAATGAAGATAACGTCCTTGTTTGTGTTAAGCTGATTATAGACATCCATAAATTTTATCGACCATCGTTCTCAAATGATGTGGGTTTTGATTAGAGTTTATATTAATTATCAGGTCTCACGGTTTTTGGACTTTGTGAAGGAGGTGTACAGTGACCTAAGGTTTCGAGCCAACAAGATTTTTGAGCCAAGGTTAAAGTTGGAAGTTCCTGCCATTTCCGATGTTGATCTTGATGCAGAAGTTCTAAATGCATACACAGTCACAAGTGTTTACACACAGGAGCTTAAAACTGATGGTTCTTTCATGGTTGTAAGTATTCAAATCCAATTAACTGTTGTTGGATTTCAGTACCACATTCTCCCTAAATCTGGGTTTTCTTTAAAAGTCATGCAAGAGATTCCTATTTTAGTGGTCCTAATGTACCAGCTATTCAAGCAACATATACACCAAGATGTTTCTGATTTCATTCCATTAATAATGGATTTCATCAACCTCAAACCAACAGAAGAACAAAAGTATGTCACTGTAATTATACCTATTTTCTTATTACCGTACACTTTTCTAATTGGGCTTTAGTTTTACAATAACTCCTGAAATCTGTTACAACACTCATTTTCTGGCGTTTTATGTTCTAGTAAGTGTAATAGTGTTAATTATTTCAACAAATCTATTTTCATCTCAAGAGCTATAGGCTGTTTCGTGTAGTCACTGTGTGTGTAACACCAACGTTAGGGCGAAATAAGCATGCGCCAATTACAAAAAACCTTTTCTAAGGTATTAGCCAGAGAAGCTTCAGCAATAATTTTCACACCATTTCTTGATTATCTTTTCCTCTGTCGTAATAAATGGTTGGAGACTGAGTGATATGGCTCAGAACCGACCAGTCAGTCAGTCAGTCAGTAACAACGTAGAACTTCGTACGTACGTACATCAGTTCGAGTTGCCACACCACATTAGCACAGAGATGCACTTGTCGATTCAAATCCCGTAGTGGTAGAGGTAATAAGAGTATAAGCAGTAATCGGGAAGATTAGGGTTTGGAGATGTTATTTAAAGAGTATAATCCAGTGAAAGAAATTTGGAAAGAGGAAAAAAAGGGACATGAAGAATTCAGAAGATTAGAATTTGGGAGAACACAGAGAGTGGATGCACCTGCGCCATTGCAAACGATTTTGAGCCATGTCATTCAGGGTCTCTAACCATCGGTTGCTGTCATCTCGCGGTCCCCAACCAGGTAGTCTACACCTACCAACATGACTCAGTTCACTTGTCAGTGACTTCATGGACTTGTGCCATGTTTTGGTTTGGCCGCCCCTAGCTTTCTTCCAACCTACTCCTATACCACTGAACATAGCACGTCGAGGCAGTCGGTCGTTGGGCATACGTAACACGTGTCCCAGCCATCTCAACTGATGAAGTTTCACTACGTCATCAATTGATTTGCCATCCTTACCTAGTACCCGTTTCCTAACAACTGTGTTACTTACTCGATGGTCCCATGATATATGAGCAATGTTTCGAAGACACCTATGATCAAATACTAGTAACCTACGGATATCCTCTACTCTTACCGGCCATGTTTCACTGCCATAAAGTAGGACGGAACGAACTGCTGCGCAGTAAACACGTCCTTTGGTTGATAGACGGATATCTCGCCTACGCCATAAATGACGCAAGTTGGCAAAAGCTAGTCGAGCCTTCTGTATCCGTGCTGAGATTTCGTCACACACTAAACCACAAGGGCTGATGAGACTTCCAAGATAAGTGAAGCGGTCGACACACTCAACTACTTCACTCCCTATCACTAGTTCGGGTGTCGATGTAACCCAATCCTGAAGCAACATTTTGCATTTCGAGGGAGAGAATCGCATCCCGAACATGCTTGCATTGTTGCTTAGAGTGGTCAGAAGACTCTGCATTTTGTCAGTGTCTTCACCAAATAAAACTATGTCATCAGCATATTCTAAGTCAACAAGTGAACCTCCTGGTAGAAGTTCAACCCCTGTAAATTTAGATGAGGAGAGTGTTATCTCTAAAAGTACGTCGACCACAAAGTTGAACAAGAATGGGGAGAGTGGACAGCCCTGACGAACACCACTTGAGGTGATCAATTCTGATGACAGTTCGCCATAAGCTCTCACTCGACCAGTTGTGTTCGAGTAGAGAGCCTTTATAAGGTTAATGTACTTCTTTGGTACTCCTTTCAGTGACAAACACTGCCATAGAACCTCACGATCAACAGAGTCGAATGCCGCCTTAAGGTCGAGAAATACTACCATTGTGGGGCGTCTGAATGTGTGTCTGTGTTCTAGAACCTGACGTAGTGTGAATATCTGATCTATACAACCACGTCCAGGTCGAAAACCAGCCTGGTTTTCTCTAGTCTGCTCTTCACGAGCTTTAGTTAGGCGTCGAAGTATTATTGAAGCTAATATTTTAGACACTATATTAGTCAAACTGATTCCTCTGTGATTGTCACAAGAGGACTTTTGTCCTTTCTTAAAAACTGGCACAATCAGTGATTGAGACCAGTCAGATGGGATTACGTCCAGTTCCCAAATTCTACCTAAGACCTCAGTTAATCTCATTGCTAATACTGGACCACCATCCTTAAAAATCTCAGGAGTAAACCTGTCAGGGCCTGCTGCTCTCCCTCGTTTCAGATTTCCTATGGCTTTTTCAACTTCGTAAAGGGACGGAGGACCTACATTAACTTGCCATTCAGGTTGACTGGAGATCGTGGGAAACCGAAGTGTGGCTGAAGGCCAGTTGAACTGATCCCTAAAGTGTTCTGCCCATCGATCCAATCTCCTGGATTGAGAATGAATAATATGTCCATCTTTCTCTGAGATTGTTTCGCTAACGGTCGGGTTCCTAATTCCGGTTTCCTTAACGAGTCTGAACAATTGTCTGCTATTACCTATTGCCGCTGCCTTTTCCATCTCTCTTGCTTTCGCTACCCACCACTGTTCGCGATCATTGCGTAGACTTCTTGTCAGCTTGCGCTTAAGCTGACTCCGCTCTTCATTATGTTCAGAGCCAGGTGGAATGAGTTTCCGAGCATCTATCAGTGAGATAGATGCTGCTGAGATCCAGTGTTGCTCCCTAACCTTCTGGTTTACCTTACTAGCAGATATCACTGCTGTTTCCACAGCTTTTCGGATATCATTCCATGCTGCATCGGGGTGGGCATCACATACATGGCTGCCTAACTGTTTTCCTAGTTGTTCCTGAAATATACTCTTAGCTTGACTATCATTAAGTAGGGCCCTAAGAGGTTTCCTTGCAGCGTCTTTCCTACGTCCAGTAAGACGCAAGCAAATACGCGCTCGCACTAGAGCATGATCTGAATCTAGGCATGTGCTCCAGAATGAGCGACAGTCTTCTATCGAGCCCCTCCATCGGTGGCTGATAGCGATGTGATCTATTTGGGTCCAACGTTGGGACGAATTAGGGGGTCGCCATGTTAAAAGATGTTTTTCCTTATGCTTAAAGTTAGTATTTGCAAGGAACAGGCGGTTATCTGAGCATAGCTGCAACAGACGGTCGCCATTATCTGTTCTTTGAGCCACGACACCATAAGATCCACCTAGGTGTCTTTCCCTATCGCTTAGTTTACCTACTTGAGCATTAAAGTCACCGGCCACTATTACTACATCCGAGCGCCTAGCTTTTCGGAGAAGGTCCGAAAGCTTTCTGTAAAACTCATCTTTTACATCATCTGAGCTGCAGTCAGTGGGAGAATAGGCAGAGACGACGAAGAGGCAACGACGAGTGTCCCTATCTTTCCGGATTCTTACTGTTCCGTTCAGTCGGACAGCGCACAAACGACTGTCTACTGGGATCCACTCTAAGAGAGCTAGTTCTGCCCTAGGACTCAATGCTATACCTACGCCGGCGAGGCCACGGGAAGCAGAATCAGGGCTTCCAGATACACGAAGCGTAAATCGAGTCGGTTCTTTATTTTGGCATGGTGAGGTCAAATGAATGACGCTACTTGGATCCTGTATGCGCGTTTCGGAGACGCAGCACACATCGATGGCGCGAGATTCTAAAGTTTTAGCTAAGGAAGCCTGCTGTCCTATTTGGCAAAGTGTTCGTACGTTAAAAGCTCCTACGTGTAGTTTAGAGCGTGGTTTCAGGAGACCAGGAATGGCGTTCCACGTACTCGAATCGTTTGCCCTAGCGGTGCGAGGTGATAAAAAGACGTGAGGAGGGTTAGTCGGGAGGATAAGAGAAGTATTAGGAGGTGTAGGAAGGATTTGAATGTGACCACCTTGGTCTCTTGTGCTGTTACGGGTATGAGGGCTGATGTCACTTCCCGGCTGCCCACACCGTGGAAGGGTATTTCTTGAGGAACCTGAAAAGGAAATTGGATTAGTGTTGGTCTTGACGACCTGGGAGCGTGACCGCAGAGCCCAAGGGACAACTGCTTGAGGCCGGTCGCGCACGGCCTTTTTGTGGAAGGTTTTTGACGTGTTAGCTCCGTTCTTCAAAGGGCCTTACCGCCGGAGACGGAAATCCGTGAGGTAAGGTGAGGTGTGCATTTTTAGGGTCGACCTTTTCTAACCCCACCCCTCCTTGTGGGAAGGCAGCATCGCTGTCATGCTGGTTGTCCGAGGGAAACACCTTACTGCTGTCACACCTCTCTACAGTCAGCAGTACGACTTCGCCCTCAGACCTTGAGTTGCTGCTTTTAGTCTTACCGTTCGCCAATCGACCTGCCTGGCATGGTAGAACCTGCAGGAACATATGTTCCAGCCAATATAGCTCGGTTGGGTCATCACGATAGGCAAGCCCGATCACCGCGTCAAGGTAGCAGCTTCGATCAGAACCGACCACAGTGGCGTAGCTGTATACACTCTTTGTCTTCGCTCAAACCGTGCGATCAAAATTTTCTACGTTTTTCCCTGTATCACATCATTATATAAAATCTTTTTTACTATCATTGAAGTAACTGCTTCTACGAATTTGGTGTTGGTCTTGTTGTGCTAAGGAGGTATGGCAACTTGAACCGATGCATTTATGTACCTAGTCTTACATTGTAGCTGACTGGCGGACTGACTTCCCCCACTTTTTTCTCAATTTATGCAAGCCAGTGCATGTGTAGACGATGACTCACAACAGTTAGTTTATTCATAACCTAGAAATAGGTATGAGCGTGGAGCCTTGTAATGGTTATCAGTTTAAGTCAGTATACTTCACAATAACATAAAATAAATCACGGAAAATTGGAAGAGTAAAGTAAATCAGTAATAGGTTGAGAAATGAATAAGCTGAGAATAATGGACATATTTAAGACATAAAGTCCATTACTTGGTTTGTTTGTCCAGTGGTTGTATGTATTAACCACGTCATGCTAGAGGTACTGACCAAATTTATCTGTCCATACAATGTCACAAGTGATTAAGCGCTATTCAAACAGGTTTTCTCTCTATAGATATACTCCCGATCACACTATTTTGCCGATTATCTTTGTTTCTGTTGTGCTTTCCAGGAAAAATGCTAACTTTTGTCAGGAAGTGTTCATTGATTTTATGGCTGCTCAGGTGAAAACTTTATCGTTCCTCGCCTACGTAATTAAAATATACCAAGTATGTTTATCACTGTGTTCTAACCGGTCTAAACAGAAAACACATATGTTAGTTTTGTTTTCAGTAAAATTACTCATACTCTGGTCAGGATTTTTATTAGTTAATCGTCCACTTTAACCATATCTTTACTTTTATTTCTGTCGCCGTATCTACTTCATCCGTATGGGAATAACTGCTGAGGACTTACGACGTATTGTTCACTTAATACTCATTTTAGGATTTGGTTGAGCTACATTCGGTCAGCCTTGTTCAAGGCATGATGAATTTGTTGGTCAATTGTCCTCCTTCAGTAACGAATATGCGTAAGGAGTTTTTTATTGCTGCTCGTCATATTCTCAGTGCACAGGAAATTCGTCCTAGTAAGTTGTTTCCATGAATGTTATCTTTATTAGTCAGATTCAGATAATCGTAATTAGTAGATCGAATGTCACATGCAAATAACTACTGTATAAAAAATATTTCCCGTCCCACAACATAAATAAGGCATTCTTGGCTTACTAATCTATTATTCTGCTTACTAAAGTACCATTTTCTACAATTCTTATGATATGTATGTTGTTGGTCTTTTCTCTCTGTGTCAGTATAAATTATGATAACTCGGTTCGATGCATATAAGTGCTTATGGTTGACCGAAGGGATGGATCAATAAGCGTTTGGTGATAGGTTATTTATTTAAAATCTCCGCCATCTGCTTCAATCTAGTCTTTTAATATTTTTATGGTACTTATCATGAGCGTGACCCATAAAGTGGCACGTAAATCCTATCATGATGAGTGAGTCGCATTTATTTATGTTTCAGCAACGGTATTGGCATTCATATTTCGAGCTGACTGTCTATAATTAAAACGATTACTAGTGACCACCTGGATCGTTCTTAATTACTCCTTCCTAACATCGATTGGTCTGAATTAGTACATTGATGTTAGTGAACACCCTTTTCAAAATGATTGTAAACTAAACACTCAAATGATTTTCACAATAAACTGACGTCATATGGGGAAAGCCATTAAAAAATAATGATCATTGGATGTGTTCAGTTTTAGTTTTATGTCTAATATAGATTCATTGTAGTAACTATACATATTTCAGTTATTTTGCTAGTTTGTTTCTTGCTATGAAGACCAAGTTCTTTACAGATCCGTCTAAAACTCTCATATCTGTTTAGAATTTCTTCAAGTTTTGGATGAACTTATGAATGAAGAAATTTTAATTGGACATGGATATACCATTCGCGATGCATTGAGGTAATACATTTTTTATAACTCTAAAAGAGCCTGTTTTGTAATCACGCACTTGATAATAGACAATACGGCTTGATAAGTTAAATCTAGGTGGGTAATAGACTGAACACACTAGATTATGATATTATATCACTTGATATACGTTGAAAATTCCAACTAACGGTTGATAACCACACTGTGAACCAGGCAATAGCCTTATTACTAAGAATGCGAGTAGTTCACATAGTGAAACCCAAAGTAGGAATTCGAGTTACAGGATAGTAGTTATATCAAAGACTACAGAAGGTCTGTCTATCTTTGTTCAGCAATAAGTCACTATTCGTTTTCAAGTAACACATTAACGTTGGTGGTTATTGTGTAATTAAACGTCAAATAAATGTTATACTACTAACTACATCATGGCTTATGGAAGGGGTTTCGATTATTTCGATAGGATTAGTATCTAAAGAACTGTTAGGGTGGAGTCACGCTATTAGAACACAACACTTGCTATATTCAACATAATTTATATAAACTGCATCTCACTGCTTAGTGTCTTATAAACCGGGGATTAGAAAGTGTCATCATACTGTAACTGATACCAGTAGCGTATTTTGGTTTTTGATAAGGCGTATACGTACCACTGGATAACTGTTTCAGACTAAATCTGCAGTTTAGCTAACCTCAAACATAACAACATTTATTTATAAGCTATTCGCCTGCGAGACTAATAGGTTCTGGGTTTGAATCTCGCGAGGCGGGACCGTGGATGCGCACTGCTAAGGCGTCTCGTACTAGGACGAAACGACCGTCCAGTGCTTCCAGGTTTTCCATGGTGGTCTATCTTCAATTAGCTCATGGATTAAACTGTTAAATTATAAGATATTTGTTCAGATTAGAGGCTAAAACTGAATTGACTTCGTTTTCTTTTGTCACGAATAGCAATATTTGTCACTTTGACGTCATAATATTTACTTAAACTAACCAAGTCTTAAGTTAAACTATTTAATAATTGTCAAATAAGTAGTTCACTTAATAATGTCTCATTAACTTAATCATATCACTTAATGTATTCATGTAAATTTTCGTTCTAGGCCATTGGCTTACAGCACATTAGCTGATCTCACTCATCATATTCGTAGTTCTCTTAGCCTTTCTAAAATCGCTCGTGCCATTGATGTTTATGGTCGCAATATGCATGACCATACACTCCCGTTTTCAATCCAGCAGATGAGCTTACGTTTGATACTAAATCTGGTTGAGTGTATTAGACAACGAGCAGTTTCAGCCACATCCGCTAATCAAGGGGCATCAGCCACAAATGCTGAGGACCAGAATAATGAGGTTTTTTCCGGAACTGCAAGACGTCTGCTTTTGCAGACATTAAATTTGTGTGTGTTAAAAGCTAAGGTGGTGGCAGATCACTACATACCTGCATTAGAGTCTACATGGTGAGTCTTATTCTCTAAAATTTCCATAAAAATAAAATTCTACGTTACTGAAACATTTCGAGTAATTTTGTCGGTGCTAATTTTATCATAACGAAATATTTTCAGAAAAATTTTTAATTCTATCAACTTTCAAATGTGATTTCCTCTCATTTTGCTGATATAAACAATATTATGATAGCGAAACTACTCTCGAATAATTAAAATATACCTCCAATGAATTAACAACGGATCACCGTCGAATACTTAAGTTTCTTTTTTACATTCAGGTTTCGCATTAATATAATCTCCGTATTCCATAAATTGAACTGAACTAGTTCTAACCATTTGAGTCATGTAAGATGAAATCGCAGTGATACATAGTTAGGTAGTCATATGTACATTGAATAGAATTACCTCGGCTTTCATCAGGATGAAGAGAAAAGCATTAGAAATAAGGACTATTAAATAAACAACAAATGGTATATATGCCTATGTATGTATACAAACCAGTATTGATATAATTTTGCACTAAGTACAATGGTTATTTGGATCTCACTATAGAATTTAACTTTCATGAACACTAAACATGAAATATCGACTTGACGCCTCGAAATCCACATTCAGATAAACTAACCGTTACCCATTCTTCTGTTTTAGTGTATTGGAAACTGGTGAAGAAGTAACGTCCAATTCAGCAAAACAGCGTCCAAGGTCCATACATGCTTACCTTTTTGCCAATATTTCCTCTTTTTCGAGTGAATTAAACGAAGTTGGCTCATTTACTGATAAAAGTGTCCCTGCTTCAGATTTTTCAAACATTCTAAATTCGGGAACTGATGCATCAAAAGTGCATGAAGTTAGTGTTTTTCTCGATATATGTTATCTTTTTAGAAGAATATGTTTGTTGAGCTACAATAAAGTAAAAGATTCAATATATCGATGTATTTCTGTTAAAATGCTAAAGCTCTCCACTCTAAATCAAAAGTTATGCAAATTTTTTTTATCTGTATGTTAGTTGTAAAACTTAGCCATAAAATCCGTTAGATTTATTTTTGGACCACTTTACGAATGTCCTTACTGTTAATGACAGTTACTAACTACTGAATTGTTGATTGTATTATATTGGTGCAAAGTGATTTCAGTTTTATGTTTCCTCGGTACCTGTTTATCTAGCCCTCTTGTCGTTACACTAAAATACAATTGTTACGTGACACTTTTAAGTATTTAAAGTCAATAAACACTTGTAATTACTGGCATACTGACATCAGTAGTCATAGATCTCCTAGTAGTCGATTCAGTAAGACAAGAAAAGATTTAAATATGTTCTACTTTAAGATATTTTTTTTGGTTTAAATATTTTGAAAATGCATACATAATTCACGTAATCCAAAAATACATACCAAAGTTTACACCCACTTTCCTGAGATTCTGTTACAAGATTTCGAGTGTAAATGATGTAAAGTTTTGTGTTTAGTTTACTGTCTATGAAAATCTTTGTACTCAACTATATTAAAATCTGTTTTGCATTCTATTTAAAGCCCCGGATCGTTGAACCGTTGGCTAAATTGCAACTTAGCTACACGGATGTCCGGACTCTTGTAAAAGCACTTATCACTGGCATTCGTACTGTAATGACAAGCATGATCCAATGTCCACATGATAATACACTTCAGACAAATAATGTCGCACCAGTTTCTTCAACATCACCAAAGCAATCGATTTCCAATAGAATTCTTAGCCCAGATGAGTTAGTAGTCTTAACAGAATATTTCTCGTATGGAATGCGTATGATCGACATTGTACAGTTTGTTAGCCGAGATGGTCGACTATATTTAAGAAGGTAAGAACAGTTTAATTAGTTTACATTGAAAATCAGGAAATAATGATAACACAACTCATCCTTACTTACTTACTTAACTACATTCATTCTATCTCGTTATATTTCCATTTCTATGATACAGCCAGCCAAGTACCAAATCTCCTGATGAACGCCTACTTATTGAGACATTTGCCCTAACATTTGCTCAATTGAATCCAATTTCATTTCATGAAATTTTTTCTTGTAAAATTCACGTGAGTTATTCTGTGTTTTGAGAATTTTGTGTGGAAGAGCCTTTCTGTCCTTTTAACACCAAGTAACATCAAAAAGAATCTTTTCCTCATTATTGGATTATTATCATTAAACAATAGCTTTTGTATATTTATGTACTTCGTATACTTTAAATGGATCTTTTAATTGAAATGCAAGCAAATCAAGCATAAAATTCAATACTATTCGCGTAAATCCAACTATTATTTTAAATTCCTCATCGACAAAAGTTGTTCTTTTTTAAATTTTACCTCATGTAAATTGTTAATATTTTTCCATTTCGAGGATGCTTAATCAGGTTTACAACCAACTGTTATGTGTTTATGTAGACCTAATAAAGATTAAAAAAGTTGTTTTAGCATTTAATTCTTTCGATAAGATAGTTTACTAGTTAAAAGTTCCATTTTCTCTATTTGAAGTTATGGAAAAAGAAGTTTATAATGGTAAATACTGTTTTTAGTATAACCATTAAAGCTTCATTGTTCATTTAATTAGTAATATTATGAGAAATAGGTAGAAGTCTCTATATATACAACAAGCTGTGACTGTTATACATTAGAACGAACTATTCCTTTCAGTTGTTCTTACTTTTACTGATCACATTTTCTAGTAAATGTTGTACAGTTAAGCTTAATCTAGTGAAATGAGAATTCACAATTATTAATAGATTTGTTTAATTTTATATAGTTTAAGGGCAATATTTTAAATAATTGTGAAGATGAAGGCATTTTAATGCTGTGATATTATCAATGTTGTACATAAAGTTAGTATTTCTTTCTTTGTGGTTATTTAATTAAAAAGAGAGTTCCACACATTCTCTATGACCACCCTTTGAGTGTCCGTATTTATTGATCTTCCGTAATGTACATGCTCGAAGCACAATAGATGGGGGGGGACACCAATTATTTATTTGAACACATAAATATCGGTACAAGGGGGCATCAAATATATATGCGCCACACAAAACAATGAGAATTGGAGGAGAAAAAAAGGAAGGTAACGAGAGTAAAAAAACAACGACCAGATTAATGTAACGTAGTGTAATAATAATAATAATGGGGGGAAACGGAAAGGTACAATCAGAAGAAATCCTTCAGTTAACGAAGATACAGCCACTTTTTTATGAAGAAAGTAAAAGAAGGCTACAGCAGGATCGCCACTGGCTTCTATTCTGAGCCATATCTGATAAAGTCTCTAGCCACTGTGTTGCACCATCTCTCGGACCCCAGCCAGGGAGTCGTTAAGGATCAATGGAAGCCAGCCCTTTGTAGCTTTCTTTCATGCCACGACACCATGTTATACAATGACCACCTCTCCGCTTTTTTCAACCAGTCCCAGCGTCGGCAAATAATGCACGACGTGGAATTCTCTGGGACGACATTTGTAGAACATGTCCAATCCACCGAAGTCGATGTTTCAAGATGGTGACACTAATTGCATTATCATATCTGTGCCCGAACACACGATGCTGAACCTCTGCATTACTGACATGGTGTTGCCACTTGATGTCAGCAATCCTTCGGAGACAGTGATGATGAAACACAGAGTCGTCTAACATCCTCAACTCGGAGAGGCCAGGATTCACAAGCATAGAGCAGAACTGCTCTCATCGACGCGTTGTAGACCTGACCTTTTACAGCCAGATTAACATCACGAAGGCGCAAGAGATGACCCAGATTGGCTCTCACTATACCTGAATTGGTCTCATCACTCACATCACTACCAGCACTAACACAGCTACCCAGATACACGAACTTATCGAATACTAGTATTCACTCACTACCCAGGTTGAGTGCAGGATTAGAATCCTGCCAGTCTTGTAGAAGTACTTTGCACTTGGAGGGTGCAAAGCACATACCGTACCTACGGACATTGATCACCAACTGATTAAGTGCGGATTGCATGGCTTGGGCATTATCGCACAGTAAGACAATATCATCCACATACTCAAGGTTTAGAAGTCTTTCTCCAGGCAACAGACCCACCTTTGCCATTACTTACATCCATCAGAGCTGTTTCCAGAATGTCGTCGATGGCAAAGTTGAAGTGGAATGGTGAGATTGGGCAACTCTGCCTAACCCCACTGCTCGAATGGAACAATATGGAGAGAGGTGGTTGTAAGCCCTCACTCTACCTGAGGTGTTTGTATATAGGGCTCTTAGGATGTTAATAAACATCAGGCACACCCTTCTTCAATAGACAATCCTGGAGAACAGTCCAATCCAACGAATCGAAGGCAGCCCTAATGCCAAGAAACACTACGATTGTTGGACTTTGATAAGTATGACGGTGTTCTAACATTTGGTGGAGGGTGAAGATATGATCAATACATCCTCGACCAGAACGAAACCCAGCCTGCTCCTCGCGAGTCAATCTTTCTCGGGTTTTGAACAACCTACGAAGAATGACGGAAGCCAATAGCTTGGACGCAATCGGAAGTAGACTTATCCCCCGATAGTTGTTACAGGAACGACGTGAACCCTTTTTAAAGATAGGGACAACTATCGACTCATTCCATGACGTTGGTACACTCTCTAGTTCCCAAACCTTTGTAAACAACGTCGTCAATTCCTTAGTCAGAAATTCACCACCATCTTTAAAAAGTCATCTGGACCAGCTGATTTGTAACACCTCTAAAGTTGGAGTTCCTTGCGGACTTCCGCCTCATTTGGTGGATCAGTCGTCACCGGCCATGGAGGACAGGACAGTCTGACCGATGTTGCCGGAGCAGCAGGCCAGTTGAACTGCCCTTCGAAAAATTCTGCCCATCGTCCAAGACGTCGATGAATGTTAGTGATTGGCATCCGATCATCCTCGCAGATTGTTTCGCTCACACCAGACTTCTTGCTGCCAGTGGCTCGGATGAGTTGGAGGAGCTTCCGGTAGTTACCAGATGCAGCTGCTACTTCCAACTCATTAGCACGCTTCGACCACCATGTTTCTCGGTCCTCATGCTAGCTTTTCCCAATTTCCTTACGTAACATCCTTCGTTTGTGGTCATACTCACGGTCACCCGGAGTAGACCGACGGGCTTCGATGAGTTGTAAGGAGCCTGAAGAAACCCAGTGCTTATAAGCAGGACGTTTCGCGAAGCCGCAAGCGGCTTTACTCGCCATTTTCATGACGTCATGCAATTGCAACCAATGCTCATCTATACTTTTCGGTGGAATGGTAGCTAGCCTAGAAGCTAGCTCGGTTCGATACTTACTTGCAACAGAAGTTGCAACCAGCTTGCTAACATCAATCCGTTGTGTGTGGGCTGTGATACTGCCCGGGTGCCCAGACCGAAGCAGGTGGTTTTCTTAGGGAGCCACACCCCGAGCCTTTGACCTAAAGGTCTAACCCACAAGGCAGTGGAGCATCGTGAGGAGATGCAGTCCCATGGTAGCCGGTGACGAACGATTGGTTCATACGCCATTTGTTCCCGCAGGATACTGGAGCCCATGTGCACCATTGATCTGGGATCCGGTTAAAGCGCCGGACATTCGCTTTTCGTCCTCTCATTTTCGTAAACAACACCCCAACCAGGAGAGGGCAATGAGTAAGACTTCCCTGGAAGAGGCTGTATACGCGTGGCCATGTGAGAGCATTTCGAGATGGAGGGATGGTCCACACCAATCTCGACCATACCAGGGCATTTGGGGGCAATAGATGATGATGGTCTGAAGCCTATTTATTGTCACTAAGCTCCTGTACTTTTTTTTCGGTTTTTGTGTCCTAATCACTATTGTTGGGACAAACATATAGTTGATGACAGTTTGATAATCTCAGTTGGTAAGTGATATGGTGGGTAAGAATTTAACCTAACAGTCAGATCCCTGAACAGTAACCTACAAAATTGATATTCCTTAATCAAGTTTACTTTTCTGTTAATAATTTATGTATGGACATTTTATTCTGTCATATATTTGACGCCATATTAGATCCAAATCTTTCTATATCATTGTATCATGTTATATCACTATGTTTCCTTCATTTTTTTGTGCGAATTGGTAACCATATTTTGTAAAATCTTGCAGTTTTTTCTTATTTCGTCAGTATCTGAACTTCCTCATTTTTCTTTTCGTTTTTTTTCTTTTTAGGATTATGTTGTTTGGTGCAATCGCAGCGCATCCTACACTAATATTGCGTTACATTTACTTTCTCAACCAAATAAAACATCATATTTTGGTTATATTTTGTTATCCTATCTAGTTGATAGATTAGAACGTTTGGGAGGTAAACAATGTTTTTGTCCAACTTTTTGGTCTGAGTTTATTGTACATTTAACTGTCTTATCAGCAATTCTTTGGAAACAATCGTTTCATTGTCACTTCAATTATCGTCTTCAGTATAGCTTTACATAAACATATTAATAAATTGAATCTATAAATTTATTTCTGTTTAGTTTAACTGAATAACTCACTCATTTGAAGAAGATTCCAGTATCTCCTGATTTTTTTGGGAAAATAATTTATTTTTTAATTCCATTCTAAAAAGATTTCATTGGAATTTTATGCCGGAAAACCTATTGGTTCATTCTTTTTGTCACTTTATGTTGAAACCGTGCAAAATACTGAAACAGTTTATCGTCTTTTCAATCAAAAGTTACTGTTTAAAATTATTTTGATAATTCTAGGTTGAGATTCTGATGAGGTTTCAAAGTCCTTCAAAAATGACTTATAGAATCTATAGAAGCATAGGAATACACATTTTTATTTCAAGTAATCAGTTATTTTAAAGAATATTGTAATATTACATGGAACTGTTCTTGGAATAATTTAGTTACTAAACTGTATTATTTTGTCCATTTCAGATGGCACCAATGAATCTGCACTTTATATGCGATTATTAAAGTTATGTTTCAGTTCTGTAAATATGTCTGGCACAGAAAATGAATTAGTTATGAAGGTATTTTACGTTATTCTGATATTTTATAGATTTATTTAATTTTTTGAATCTACAGAAATAGATTTTGCGTTTGATCTAGTATTTTTTAAAAGTACTATTAGATATGCACCTCTGGGATAATGATCTTGTGCATAAATGTCTCTTGGGAATGGCACTTAGTTTTGTGGCTGACAGCATGCATGTTTTATAGAAATACATCTGAAAAGATGATTATTGGTATTTTAGCGTCGGTTATTGCTCATTTTTATTCGGTGCTCATAGATATTTCAAGGTTCAATGGAGTAGACTAAATTAAGAATAAAGACTAATCTCTTCTGTCTACTTTGAGTGATAGCTGGGGTGTACTGTAAAAGGGTAAAATGCGAACTATTAATCGCTTCATGCCCACCATATGTCTTGTTCAAGATATGTTACAGATGCATTCTTGAGTCGTCTTAGGTGAAGATGAAACGATAAGCCAACATTAGCTGATTTTCTTTAATGCAAACCATGTTGAACATTAATTTTATGTTTTTAATTTCATAGATATTCATCCACAGCCCTATTCTGAAACATTTCTTGGTCGATAAAGCTGGAATTAATTATTAATAATTTATTTGTCTTATATCTTATAGCTTCATTTACGCCGTATCGTTCAAGGCAGCATGCATTACTGCCTTACAGCTAAAGAGCCTACAGCATATCTCACTTTATTACGAACTCTTTTTCGGTCGATAGGGGGCGGAGCACATGACAAACTTTATCGTGAATTTTTTCCCTTACTACCTGAAATGTTAACGACGTTGAATCGTTTATTGCGTTCACCACATCGTTCGAATGCTCGTGATCTATTGGGTGAACTGTGTGTTATTGTCCCAGTTCGTTTGTCCACATTACTCCCCTATTTGTCTCTGTTGATGGAACCGTTAGTTTATGTGCTGAATTGTAATACTGTCAACCAGGTAAATTTCGTTTTGTTATTTCGCTTGCTTACCGTCCATTTTAAACTGAAATAAGATTAAAATACAATTTAGAAAACATTATCACTCAGCAAAATCATATCTATTTTCCGTTTTTTAATCTATTCTAATAATGTGTTTTTGCAATTCAGTTTAATTAGGAGGACACAGATGAGATAGTTTTGTTAGGATTGATGACTGATCTTAACCCACTTAATAATTAATCGTTCCATTTATGGTAGTTAATTTGAATAATAAGTTGATTTATCTAATTGGATTAACGGTGAGTAGCACTTTGCTCATAAAATCCCGTTATTAATAAATAATGGCCATTTAATGTTTTAGCGGTTGTATCATATTTGACTCTTACAATATGCCTGAATGTTGTGTTAAAGATAAGTTCGTAGTTGTTGCTGTTCTCCACTGGAAAAATCTATAGTTAATGTTCAAAAATATTTATAAGTTTTGTAACCCAATTATCAAATCTGTGTTTTAAAAATTTAGGCAAAGAAACAGATGTTTTCTTTCTTAACCTCAATGACTTATCAAAAACTCGTTGACAAATTTCTTATGTTTTACGGTCTATGGAAGAAGCTCGTTTTCATCTTTAGTCGCATTAATTAATCTTAATCTCTTCAAGCCTTTCACTTTCCATCCATGTTCAAGTTTTTGATGCTGAAGCATTTTGGTTTTAGGATTACGGAGTCTTCTGTTTGGTTCATTTAACCTTCAGTGACGCTAATTTAATAATACTCAATGATACTATGCTCTATGTTGGGCGGTAGCTGAATACTTACATCTGACTTTCTTTTAGTGGGTGCAGATTTTAAACCAGTTTGCATCTACTTCTATTTAAAGAGTCATATAGTATCGTCATGCCTCACAAAGAATTTGACTGAAACCCAAGAACATTTAATTGGTTACTTTGTAATTTTAATCTTAAATGTTTGAAATAAAAAGACAAATTATTGCTTTTCAATCTTGATTTATATCAATTCATTATTATTTTGTTAATGTAAAGGGTCTCCGTACTCTTGAGCTTTGTGTTGATAATATGCAACCAGATTTTCTTCATGATCATTTATATCAAGTACGTGGGGATATGTTATTGGCGTTGTACAATTCACTTCATTCACCTAGTGAATATGTACAAAAAATGTCATTCAAGGTTGGTTCATCTTTCATTTTTGATGTATAATAATAATAATAATAATAATAATAATAATAATAATAATAATAAAATATTAATCTCTTCAATCCGATTATTGTTCTATTCAAGTATTACTGCTCATATATATATCGGTCATTTTTGGATATTTTTCCGTGTAAATTAAAAAAACTTTTCTTTTTACCTAAATCATAAAGAGGTTTTTTCTACTAATTATATTGTTTATATATTACGTAAATCATATTATCTCTATGTGATCCGAGTTAATTTGTGCCTAAAATATTATCCCATAATTGTTGTGATGACATCTCAGGTTGTATGTGTTTTGTAGAATTTGGATCTTACAGCTTGAGCTTTTTTGGTAATGTAAAGTTCGAGTGTAAATAACGAACACGTTAATGTTGTAAACCTTCCATTTAAAATTTTATTCTTATTTAGCGAAAATAATATACAGAATGTTGGGGATTCCATGTGTTATTCAGCATAAATCATAAATACGCAGTAGGTTACAGTTGAAGAGTTTTCTACTTTGTATGGTGTTTCATTACACCACATGCTATAACGAATTTTCAGTACAATATTTGTAAATCCGTGGAAATAAGAGATTTCACTGAATTGTGTGGAATAAGTTGGCTGTATCCATCTTCCCTAAGTTGAGTGCGTCCCTCGTATCTCTGGCACTATTTTATGGTTTAGAGTTCTAACCTTCTTAGTCTACAACTATCATCTTCTAGATTTCATTTGTGTTATTTTCACTTTTCTACATTGGCTAAAATAAATATTCGAAATTCCTCTTTCGTTAATCTTTACTAGGTACTTGGGAAATTAGGTCGATTTAATCGTACTAATTTGCTTGAAACACAACGTTTACGTATTAGCTCAGCGGAAGGTGAAGCCGGTCCGCAACTACGTTTTCACATGAATGAATTTCGAAATCAGCCTATTGATATACCGATTAGATGTCTTGTTGATGCTGCTGTGGAAGTATTACAGGTAAAAATGTGGTTGTTTCCAATATTTCTCAGTACAATCTATTAAAAAATTTACAATGGTTGTGATAATCTTATTTCCTTCTCATTATAATCCTAACAAAAAGTCAGCATTCCATTCAGAGGTGCACGTTTTACACTAGTAGAACCGTAAAAAACTATTCTCTTAAAGTGTCTATACTCAAATCTAATCCACTAGCGATTTAAAGACTGCAATTCTTTTAAGCTGAGTCGAATTCCGTCTACGACGAATTATGATTTCCATCGAAAATATTTCAGTTTTATGTGTTATTGGAGCATCCTTCTTGAAGACTGAACCTTTACAGACTCATAAATGTCCTCCCCCCGACTGCAGCTGCTTCGTTTCTAGTAATGCTATCTTCCAACAGATGGATAGACAAGTTGGAAAGTACAGTTCTGAAAATAAAATACACCCTTTTGGTTGATACAGACTGTAAAGTTAAAAAGAAACAAAGATAATACTTCACAACAAATGTCCATCGCATAACAGACCTTAAGCAGTTGTTCTTTATACTGATGAGCCCTTGTTACGGATCATTTAATAAAACATCATATATTTTCTGCACAGTAGAAAATTATATCAATTGCTAGCTTCATACTTTCTCCCCCTTCCTACTTTTTTAATTAGGATTCTTCTTCTGATGAGCCTAGTAAACTTCGCTCTTGGGAGTTTCTTCAGTCAATATGCGTAGCTGCTTTGAACTTAAACCACTCGCAACAATCGTCAGACGGTGTAGAAGATTTCTACAATTGTTTCCTTGGTGATACAGGACTGAACAATATGATATTGCAGTATATTGATGATATGTATTTGACGTCCTATTCCGAAAATCCTCCCATTCAGTCAATTCGTCCAAGTTGTTGCATGGCTGATGGTAATTAATACCGTCTAACTTTAAATTGGATGTTTTCGTTCATTGTTAATTCCATAGTATCATTTTAATATGGTTAAGAATAATTGTTCACTAGTGTCTGTTAGTCGGGCTGCATTGCGTACGTTGATCCAGTAGTCACTGCATCTGTTTTTATCACACATAGGACTATTTGAAATGCTCCAAGACGAATAAATCACTGGAATCGCTTATCATAATACTCACAATGGTTTGTACGCTAAGTTTTACTTGTTATATGGAAAGGATTGGTTCTACTCGCTTTATCATCCACCGAATTCCTATAATGCCACTGATGATCAAGATTAGTGAACGTTCAATATTATTGTGTTGTGATTCACTGAGATGTCTGGACTATTTAATCTGGATAATTCTATATCACTGTTAAAATAAACAACAATTCAGTTCTTTAGTTTAATTTCTCTTCCCTTTTTATAACATAAAATTGTTATTTAATTCCATTAAATCGATATCCTTTAGCAGAAAATCCTAACTGTTTCTTGTTTAAATACTGAATTTCGAAGATGGATCTGAACTTTAGTGTGAAAAAGCATTGAGTTCACTGATATTGCCCGAATTTTGTCTAGTATCCTCAACCACTCATAGGACTCTATTAAGAAGCCAACATTGATCATAGTCTTATTTTAATTTTCAATAGCTCGATTGCTTGACAGTGAAACGTATGAAAAAGAGTTGTTCTAAAGGATTATGAACTGTAAATACCTGTGTTGTGATGAGTCTGTGTGGTCTGAAAACTTAAGTACATGAATAAACCGGCATACAAATCTTGTGAATAAGTCTTTAAGTGTTTAATGTTCGAACTATCAGTTCTTTAGTTGTCCCACAAACTGTGTTTTTGTTTTTAATTGTTTTAATATGCACAAAAAATAAAGCTGTATACAGAAAAGTTGAATCTTTACATTGGTATGCTCATAAAGTAGTAATTTAGAAATGGAATTATTCGTTTCTTCATTCAAAGATTTTCTTGAATATTCCACTGTAAATTATTGAACTTGAATTTTGTTCTCGTTGATTTCTTGAATCCTACAAATATCAGGCGAACTAATTCAAAGTTTTATTAAATGTATGATCAGAAATTTATCTAGCAGTATGTTTTGACAAAGTTATCTAATCATTATATCAGTTAACTATCAAGGGAACTTTTTGATGTATACCTTTGTAGATTTATGCAATCATGTTATGATTATGGCAATAGCTGGGCTACTTCTGGCTGGTCTGAGCAAAGAATTGTATAGTGCTCATGGAGATTTTATTGCGTTTATTGTCAGACATGCAACATTCCTGTCGATTATGCAACAGTTCACTTCGCTTCATACGGAGATCAGTCGTGACCATATTTCACACTCAAGCACATCATTCGAGTCGAAAACATTGTGTAAAGTTGATACTGCACCTAAATTACCATTCTCTAACGATATAACTACTTCCGGAAATGATCATTTTCTAGAGGTAAGTTGGTTATATTTTTTGTCCGAACGAACCTGTGGTTATCGACGAAAATTTATTCGTTTAGTAGAAATTACCTATTTTACTATGTTAATCAATGAATCCTTGAGTCACGATCACCACTTCGATATCAATAATCTGTCACTATTGACTTTTGTTCTTCCTAGGCAGTCCAATAATAAGCTGAACAGTTTTTCATATTGTTAATCAATTTCCTTCTGCACCGTATTGGTAGTATACTTTCGAATATGGTTATTTAAATATCAAAACTTGGTTGTTGAAACTAGTTAACAAATCATTTGAAATGAAATAAATGCCCATAACTATCATTCTCATATACATCCATCTTTTTTTTAAGATTTTGTTTTTCAACGTACACCTCGACTTTTTCGCTCGTTCCTTGATAGAGTAAAACGAAAAAATACACCTAAATCCAGTTGTTAAGAGTTAATGACGGTGTGCAGATAACAGGAATGCTAAGTTTACTGCTCTATTTTTTTCTGTCATTATTTTCTTATGTTCTTTGTCTGTCATCACGATATGAAGAATAAGACAGATGGGTTTCTACATGGATCTGTTTTAGAGATATTTAATGGTTGAAATAGATAACTGACTAGTCATTTCCTGGTTCTAGTCTAAGTACGCTATTTCTTGTGGGAAACAATTGTAATTTTTGTAGTTTCATTCTTTAGAGTATATGGAACGAATGAGTGCATTAGCTGTTGCATACTTTCTACCAACACAAATATTACGTTTAAATCACTAAACTCCAGACTACCCAGTAAGGTGAAATTCTTCACTGCCCCTTAAAACTATGGTCTTTAAATTCATTGTATTGCTTGTTTAGATCTTCCCTTTAATGTTATGGTCCACAATTAGTCACTCAAGTGTTGGGCGTTTGAAGTAATTAGTGCTGGGTTCGAATCCCTGCGTGACCATCAACATTGAAGTGCAGATACATCCGCCTAACAAGTCCTAAACAGGACAAAACATGCGTCATGGACTCCACAGCTAGCCACTATTCAACTCTGTTCCTTAAATTTTGTCTTCATTGAGTTATATGAACTTGGTTATAGTGCTCATTGCATTGTTGTTTTGTCTGTTATCTTTGTACTAATTATTTCCTGGGTTTTATTGATTTTCAGCTAGAAATATTTAGTATAAGCCAAGACCCTGATACAATTACTCCTACTGTCAAAGAACCTCAATCACTGAATCAAGAATTTCTTCCAAATAACTCATCTTCACGTTTAAATCCGAATATAATTATTGATTCTATCATGTTTGTTATGGGTCATGAAGCGAAACAGCTTACTCGAAATATGTGCATATTTCTAGAAATTATACATAACACAGCATTTGCTATATTATCCGCTGTTACTACAACATCTCGAGAAAATAGTGATCATTTTACTACAGAGACGATTAAAAAAGCTGTTGCAAATCTACAAATTTTCCAGCATATTGGACATATTATTGTTGATATGTTATATCATCCAGCTTGGTAATTCTTTTATTCAACCTCTTTTTATTATTATTTGTATCCAAGTGTTTTTTGTTCCTGTTTACTATTTAGTGGGAAAACTCTGTTTTATGATGCATTAGAGTGTCATCAATAACATACATATGAAGTCTACATATATTGTAAATTTGAAGTAATACTTTATCTTATGGGTCATTTGTCCAACTTTTTCTCCTCTTGTACAGGTACGTTAAATGGGGTGCTTGTGCTTCTATTCTTTGTCTTGCTCGTTTCATTCATCCTTCATGGTTCTGTTCAAATCTCATCAGTTTGCTACGTGGCCTACTTTATTGCATTCATAGCTTATCAAATCAAATGAATCAAGGAGCTCTAATGATGGCTCGTGACTGCGCGCGTATAATTATTAGCATGGTTTTCATAAGTTTAAAAGATTCAAATGAAACTAATCACTTTTTACACTCGACTGTTGTTGAAGAGGAAGATGTGAAATCAGGCAAATCCACTCCAATATCTACACGTAAACGCTCTTCAACAACTTCACAACGTCGTACAGTTCAAGTTAGACGTGGTCGTAGTGCAGCTAACGCAACTTCAGAATCATCAAATAATGAAGCATCAACCAATGTAGTTGTTGAATCAATGGAAATTGATAATCAAGTCAATGAAAAAGAGTTCACTCCAAAGTTCTCATCGTCTCTGGTAAGAGTTGACTAATAAAAAGAGATTTCACATAGATTAATATAGGTTAGCTAAAAGTTATTAATTGCCATTCAAATTGAGTATTCTTTTAATGTATGGATGATAAGCTATGTACTATATAGTTCAATCTCAACTTTTGGCTCCAACATTTTAAATCTGTATTACAATGAAATATTTTTAATGAAGTGATTTTTCCTAGTTAATTTCCTCAAAATATCGTATTTTGTGTTACAATTATTATTATTATTATTATTATTATTATTATTATTATTATTATTATTATTATTATTTACACTTTAGACAACTTTATTGGATGCAGTTATCGTAGAATTATTAGATTCACTTTTGAGTGAAACTGATTCTGTTCGAACCGAAGCACGTTGTCTTTTGAGATTACTTTCTTATACAATTGAACAACCATTATGTAAGTTGTTAGCGCCACATTGGTATAAACGTATTGGACATGTTTTACCTCCGAAACAACCAAATCGTCTACTGGATTTACCTATTTCAACTCAATTAGCTGTACTGGTATGTCAAATCTAACTCTACTAATTGTGTAAATATGCTTTCATTGTTATTAGCACTATTCCTTATATAATGCAGTGTAAATCAACTTCTGTATTTTAGTAGTTAACATTCTCTGGCTTTTCAATGTTAACTATTAGTTATAAGTTTTTTTTGTTATGTAATTTCAGCAGATAATCTTGAATTGACCCATATAGAGTGGTGCCTTACAACTGATACATGGAATGCAAAATTAGTATGTGCGCGACCACGCAGAAATTATAAGATTTCTCACGTCTTTCTTGTAAACTGTCTCGTATATTCATCTAAAACTGGATAATCTTCAGGATTTTGTCTGTTTCAATCAGTTATATGCAACGTGCATAAATGGGTTCGAATTGCTAAACCATATCAGCACAGCAAGATGTAATTATCAAGACAAATGTCGGAGTAGTGGAAGTAGTAACGGCGTCAGTTGTTGTACATAACAGGATTCGAAAGAAAGAATGTGTAGAACATAAAAAATAGTCTTAAAACCTATAGTCGAAGGGATAACAAAGAGTAAATTCATCTGCGCTATTGCGATGGATTCTAAGGTATGTGGTCTGCGCCTACCGAGACAGTTCAGTCTGATATTCAGTGTTTGTACATTAGGTCCTAAGTCATTATCGGTTATATAAAATATATAGACTTTACTCTACTGTTCAGACTTAGTAGGTAGAGCAAGATTCGAATCTGTAAATTATATTTTAGGACATCTGGCTACCCCTTAAAGCCACATATTTTCAACTGGAATTTAGAAACATAATACTGTAGCAGTTATAAGTTTGTACACAATTATTTGCCAACTACAGTATTCTTCGTTTTCTTTTTAGGAAGCAAACTATTTCTTTGGTCAGTCAGAGAAGTTAAAACATCCATCTAAAGTTTCAGATAGCTCTAAGCTTTTTGACTTTGACATAGATAATAACGATGATGGAGTAGGACTTCTACGTTATGATCTTTCAAAACGAGATGATTGTATTTTTCTATCCGATGTACGTTCACTTCTTACTCAATTTGAGTTGAATAATGATTTCTCTGCTAGTACTAATAATTCTACAACTACCAACACCATAGCTGCTGGTAGTAGAGCGGTAAACACCAGTGTCAAAAATAATTCATCAATAAATTCTGACCAAGAAAAAGGTACATTCAACGGAACTTATTCATATTCCAAGTTTACACCGTTCAACTCTAGAACTGTAATACCGCTTTCTAGTAATTGTATGAGATTAATTAATCTTCGAGTGGCTGCTTGTCAAGTACTATCTGTCACATGGTATTTAGATACACAAAAGGCAAGAAATCTAACAGCACTATTCAAAGGTTAGTATACAGTTTATTATTCGTACCATTCATTGCTTTCATACACGATTGTGGTTTTATTTAAAACAACTTGACATGTTTTGTTAATTTTATTTAGCAAATTGATAAGTTTTCATGTAAAAAGATTGAAAATGTATTCAAATTATTTCTTTAATAATAAGAACTAAACAAAATGTCGATAGATCATCAGAATGGGACAACATGATTACTGAAAATTATATCATTGGTAAATCAATTGGCTATTTCGTTGATAGTCAATGTTTCATCAAGGCAAGCTTGTCATATCGATAGGTTTTTTAATATTTATCTCTTATACATTTTATAATCTATGTCGAGCAAAACTAGTCTTCATAGTAGGATGTTTCTGTAGTTGTATTTTGAACGGAACACTTATCAGTGTTTATTATAGACATTCAATTGGGTGATTTGCACTTTTTTGTCCTGTCAAGCATAAATTCATTTTATATTAATGGTGATGTACATTGCTTGAGTTATTAATTACATTTGGATGATTTGAATCGATTTTGGATTGTTAAAATAAATGAATAAAACATTAATCGATGAATATTATGGAATAATACTATATGGCTGACTAATAACTATTCATAAGACTGGGTTATTGGTGTAAGCTCTATCCCCAATTAAGCAACCAAACAGATACCCAGAAAATAATCTGCTTATATACAAATATTGACATAAAAATATGTACCATTAGATATTAGAAATAACCGAACAAAACCAATTTTGTAAACCACTCGCTATTCCTGAGGATTAGCATCTGGGATAAAACGTAGGCTCAGAGTTTTCCGTTGATCATCTTGAAGCACTTAATATCAAAATCTAGTGCAATACATGTCAACTCACTTAGAGTAGTGAGTACATTATAACATTATTAGTAAAATTCAACTAGGACTAAAAAATAGGTGAACATGATTCGTATATATAACACTTCCGAACTGATATACGTACATACGAAGTTCTACATTGTTGCTGACCTGACTGATCTGACATAATCTTTTCCCTTGTTCTTGCATTATATACTAAATTTATTTTAATTGTATATTACAGGTATGTCTTGTAAGAATGAATATATTCACGAAACAGCTTTTTCGTGTCTTCGAGAATTTATCAGTAAAACATCTATTGATATTGAATTAAGACATGCTAATATGAAACAGATTGTGCAAAATATTCGACAAAACTCTATACGATGTATTCATACAGTTCGACAATTAGCTTATTGTGCTCAATTATTTCCGAGTACACTTAGTGAAAGATTATGTGATGCAATTTATGTAAGTTAATAATTCTAAAAAATATCATATCAACTTTTCATATCATTCTGTAATCATAATGCATGTATATATTGACTATGACCATTTTGAACTATGCAATATCACTAATCCTTTACTTACTTACACCTGTCACCCCTCGTAGAGGAGCATAGGCCGCCGCTCGCTTCGGCGGTACATATACTATTCTAAATATTAATCCCAGTAGAAAAAATTATTTTATTCAAATTTTTTTGTAAACGGTTTATATGGAAGAGAAACAGAAATAAAATTTGGCATACTTTAACTGATAAAATTTGAAATAGAAATTCGAATTAAGTTTTTTCTTCTCAAAAGAATACATTCAAAATCTAGTCCTTCAATGGTAAAGAAAATACATTATCACAAATCCCAACCATATTGATTATTCATTGAAGTTGAGTTTTGATTAGTAACCGTAAGCTCAAATCATCTACCATATTTGATCTTCAATCTGTACAAATAAATAATTTGTTATCACTCATTATACTAAAACTGTAGTCTACAACTAATTACCCAAACATTTACAAATGTGATGGATGTAGGAAAATTGAATTATTTTTCTTGAATTGTTTTGGTGTACTGAAGTAACTTTTACTTCTAGTTTATTCCATACAAATTGACAATACTTCAGTCTTTAGACGTTTTTTGTACTAGATTCCATATTGTGCTTTACTATCATTTGGTTAACAGTTTTAATTTTCTATTTTTCAGTAATCAAAATTAGTAAAATCTCCTCTTGCTGTTATTTTAAACGATAACTCAATACATTTATATTGTTATTCCCGCCCAACATAGAACCATGAGCCCCCCCCAAATACATTTATATGTAGACATCCAATACTTTCTATTTTCTTCTTAAATTCTATTCCTCAAAGAGTTTGTATAGTTTCTATTGAGATTTTCATACCGGTCAGTAAATTTATTAATATTTCAATTCTTCGCACTAGTTGATGTTGTGCTCATGTCTTTTGGATCCACTAGTAAAGTTAAGTATGTTTTTCTTGTCTAAGGAAAATTAATGATCGCGTAATGACTACTTGGTCTCCCACTCATTAATGTAAGTAGTCTGTATTTAGCTCATTCCATAAAAAATAGTAAAAACATGTCAAGTAGGGTTATCTTTAACCTGACTCAATTCACTTAAAATATTGCAAAATGTAAAGAATTAAACCGATACACGATACACCGGTAAGAATTAAACCGACGCAAAACTTTACGTTGTTGTACCTTCCTCTTTTTCTTAAAACGATTTAATTTCCTATGATTCTTGTTTGTCTAGTTTTGTAATTTTTTTTGTACATTAGCTATATTTTGCTCTTTTATTTATATCTAGTCACATTTAAACACATCTTTGGAAGCTGCAGTTAACAAACAAAACTCTGCATCAATCTCCACATTCACTTCATCTGTGAGTAATGAATGTCTCGTGTAGACTTTTGTGTCTATAAATTTTCTTATTTATCTGTTTAATGTTTACATTATATAGAAAGGAGTTAGATGTTCGGTTTCTAATTCACCTAAAAATAGTTTAGGAGAGTAATAAAAATAGTATTCAATAATTAATGATGAAAATATATGAATTCATTTACCAAACTTTAGTTCTCGGTTTTTGCTCATGTCAGTTTAAATAATGGAAATAATCTCTTTACTACAGTTATACTTTACAGTCAAATAATAACTGTTTGAAGAATTATAAAGTTACTAGTAGTGTTATTTAAGGTTTGTGACTGTTAGATGAGTAGTAGTGACCTTAGTAGTGTTTTTTCTAATACTGAAACGACTTGAACAACCTGTTTAAGAGAAATTTGTGAAGCCTATATAGTCATAAAAAGATAAAAATTAAATCGAGTTTATTTCATTTTCAATTGCATGAAAATGTCTTTTGCACCTTGTGTAAAGCGCATAGTTGTTCTGGTCATTAGAGGAACTTTAGGATGCAACTGAGGCTAATAATATTTGAGTATTTTCTGGAAATTGAAATACATATTAGTTCTTAAAATATTAATTACTTGATTGCCTGCTGTTGTTATTACCATCATGGCTTCAATAATTGATTACGTCCCATAACTAGGTTTCCGTTTCCAAGTAATATCAAAGCTATACACTTGATCTTTTGAAGATAATTGATTTATTCTACTTCAGCCTTCGTTATTTTTTTCCTCTTTAAATTACAGAATTTGGAATTATGTACATTATTGTTGGATTTATTTCATCTGATTCCTTTGGCAACTTCAAAATATGTTTCGCTTTTGATTGAGTCTGTAGTCAACGCTGAACGTTTATTGAACATTGAACCTACTAGTCCTCTACGTTTACCTTTAACACGTTTCCTATCTCGTTATCCAGCTGAAACATGTGCTCTCCTACTAACTGGTTCGCGATGGCCTTATAATTCACATGCAAATAGAATATTCTTGGTAATTATTTATATTAGTATTGAATATGTGGTTTAGTTTATCATTATTTTGTTACTAACGTCTTTTTAACTTTTATCCATTTGGTACTATTAGTTGGCTTATTATGCTTTTGGTGTCTTGTTTGCTAGTGGTATTTTTTTAACAGAAAGGTAATTGTAACAAGCTGTTGAATTGTACTTTGAACCTACCGGTAACTGACACGTTTATCTAGACTCTGACTCGCTAACGGTTAGATGAAAAACACTTATTATCGGTTAGATGAATATGCGTGATAATGTTATTTTATAGTATCTTCGTACGTGGCATCAGTCCATAAAGTCACCAACGTCTGGTGTGAGCCATGTTGATATATACAGACTACTTGATTTTGGTCTGCGCGACTATCGTAACCAATGGTTGGAGACTCTGTGTGACATGGCTCAGAATCGATCTGAATGCCGTAGATGTATACACTTACTGTCTTCCCTTAACCCGTGAGATTGAAATTACTTTATACCTTTCTTTCTACAGACCAATTCTTTCTCCCTTTACCATATTTTTATATGAAATCAGTTTTTCTTAATACTATTGAATTAGCTGTCTCTATGAATTTGATGTTCATCTTGTGCTAATGAGGTATGGCAGTTTGGACCGATACATATATGTGTCTGGTCCTACGTTGCAGATGACTGACTGACTAATGCTTCTGTGTGCAAAAGTGTTGTGTGCTTAAATAATAATTTGTTATAATGAGTCTCAAGTATCAATGTATGCTAACTTGTAATGATAGTATGTTGTTTAATGTGTCAAAATGTTTTTTGAGATTCGCAGTAACATCATATCAACAGAACTTCTAGATACTCGATGATATTACTAAAAGCCAATAAATCTTTTTATCACTTACAAAAGTTTTTTTTCCATAAGTTAATGATGAGCTTCATAATAGTTTCGATCACTTATGTGCTCCACCATTTGATTTCTACAATACTTATATACACCATTAATCACTGAACTGTAAATATCATAAATCGAAATTTTCTGCTTATTTTTATTCGATTTTAGTTTGAATCCCATTCAGTAAATACTTGTTGAAAGGTATTTACCGTTATATTTTTGTTTTTATTATTAAACCAATTAGTCATTGAATACATTTTCATGTAACTCGGTAGTTTAATTTATCATTCTTTTCAATATACTTCTTTCTTTACATAAATATATATTAATCCATTTTATTTAAAGTTTGCACTCAGTTGTTCACAAGGTCAACCTATAGTGGATTATTTAAGAACAAATTATCATATACTTATGGATCTTATTCAACCTGATGAAATTAGTGATCAAAAAAGTAATTATTGTATTTATCTATTTATTTATTTATTATTTATTTATTTTAACACATAGATATTGGTACAAGGAGGCACCAAATACATCTGCGCCACACAGGTCTCATTTGATATGTGTGAGGGCTGTGATACTGCCCGGGTGCCCAGACCAAAGCAGGTGGTTTTCTTAGGGGGCCACACCCCGAGCCTTCTACCTGAAGGTCTGATCCACATGGCAGTGGAGCATCGTAAGGAGATGTAGTCCCATGGAGGCCGGTGACCAACAAATGGTTCATACGTCATTTGTTCCCTCAGGATACTGGAATCCATGTGCACCATTGGTTTGGGATCCGGTTAAAGTGTCGGACATTCGCTTTTCTTCCTCTCATTTTCGTAAACAACAGTAATGCCACGAGAAGGCAGTGAGTAGGACTTCCCTGGCAGAGGCTATATACGCGTGGCCATGTGAGAGCATTTTTCGAGGGAGAGCGGACTCTCCCCACTCTCGGCCATACCAGGGCATTTGGGGGCATTTATTTATCATGTTAATAAATATTTAATAAATGTATTCTTTTTCCTGTTCATTATCTTCAAAAATATGCATTAATGTGGTAACATAACAGAAATTTTTTGTTAATTAATATGATATAATAAATTATTTGTTTATTTCGTCCTGATGTAATCTCTATGTATGTTTCATCCATACCGAATGTCTTTTAGTTTTCATAAACGTGAATTCATCTTATTTTGATGTGAAATTTTTAGTCTCTGGGTTTTGTTTGTTTATTTCTTACTAATAGTTTGTAAATGAATGTAATCCAAAGTTAAATTAATATTTTTGATTTATTTAAACTTCATGATTTTACGGCACTATGTAATGAACAGTAACAAATATTTGTTTTCGGTATACTTATTTATTTATTTATTCATTCTTATTATAGATGTCTTTCACCAATCAAATATATGGCAAGTAATGATGAACTTAAGAATCGTACATTTGTATTGTTTCTGGGATGTCCATTCTTCTTCCATTAGGTTCTACCTCTGTCACGAGCTTTATGTAGCGATAAGTAAGGAGTTAAAGCGTAGGATTTCTGAATACTTATCTTTGTTCGAGGAGCCTAATAGCATCACTAGACCTTATACTTAGAGCGTGTGACTCGAAGCCAAATGCATAGATCTCTGCCTAGTAATTGAATTTCATCAAGATCTGATAAAGCGGCTTAGTGGTCCAGAGGTGCTCGAGTACCAAGGTGTTAGGTTTGCTTCGCGCGTGCGGAGTTGTCAATAAGCCTATGATACGCTTGTAGTGCGTAATTGATCATATAAGTTGGTGGTTGAATGTAGTTGACAAGAGACCCAATAGAATCCGATCTGTATTAAGCAGCACCTGTCTTATACGACATTGGCCATTACCCAGTATGTTTTTTAAGACACAATGTTAATGATTAGTAATATTTTCATGAGTCAACTTTTTTATAAAAGATAACTTGTATGCAATCTATTTAGAAAAGTTATTTTGTTATGTCTAATACAAATAATAAAATTACCTCTTACCTTTTCATACAAAATAATCCCCTCATTCATTTATCCTGAAAATCTGAATTAATTCGCACATGGTTGTAACTGTTGTAGTCCTAACTGTTTATTTTAACATTACTATAGAATAAATAAATCCATTCTCTAATAGTTAAATTTTAAACATTTTCCATCCAAGCATACAGTTACTACTTAAATATGTGAGAAAGAAATGTTGGTGTAAATTCGAAATCGATTAATTCAAATTGGTTACCTTTTCCACTCTTTTTTGAAATCTTGAAATTAGGAACTTGTAATCTCAACCCTCTTATTGATACTACGAGTTCGTTTACTGTTTCTCTCTTAACTTCACTACTGATGTTTGTCGACTCGTTTGTAAGATAAATTAACCTTTTTAATTATTATATGGAACATCGACTATTATTAATATCTATTGTTTTCACTTTTAGATGATTCAGATGGACAGTTATGTTTACCTCAGGTTGGAACTATTTTGACATTTGCATGTCCAAGACATTTAGCAATTCGTGCAGTTCATACAATTCATAAAATATCATTGAATTGGTTAACTGTCAATAATGTTTCATCTAATGATATATCTAAAAATAGTTCACGAATTAAATCAAATCAGTCCAATGTTGTATGGGAAACCAAATATCATCCATTAGTTTCATCTTTATTAGCTTATTGGCAGTCAAATCTATTCGTTCGAAGACAATCTAACCTAACTTTAATCACCTTGACTAAAGATGCAATTGGACATCAAGGATTATTAAATGATTGTACTACAAATATGTTTGAAACGAATCAATCAATTTCATCAAATATATCTGGTAGAATAAATATTCCCACCGGGAGTAAATCAACCATTCCAGTTGGAACAGACAATTTACCTTGTGATCCTGCTTCATTAATCTCTTCAGGTACATCAGATCATGCTCATTGGGATGAACCAAGACTTTTATTGGATTGTTTATTAGACTGTTTCAAGTAAGTGTGTTGCATTATTGCGTTAATTAATGTCTACGTTATTCTTTATTCCTTCAGATGATTTTTTTCTGCTTTATAACTTTAATAGGCACTTTTTATATTTACAACTTCATCTCATGTCAAGATTAGGCTACAGTTATGCACTACGTGTTTACTTTCATCTTTTCTTATTGCCTTCTACCTCGGTGTAGACTTTAATTTTAATATATGCAACTTCAGTTTATGGAACGTGCTAACGTAGGAGGTTGTGAAAACGTAGTGATTTTTTTGTTCAACATCTATTTCTTAACTTAATTTCGTCTCCAGAAACACATAAACAGATGCTATTTTTGGAATTTGCGTAGTTTGCAATCGGGATATCTGTCAGAAATTTATACTATTAAAGTGTTGTTTTACCAATGTGGTATTTTGAAATCCATGACGTCTTCATATCAGTGGGTTTTCATTTTACAAGAAAAAATATCCATTGTGTTCATGAGTTTTATCCATTTTTAGTTTGGTATTATTTATTTTTAAGTAACCATTATTTATATTTTCATTGTTTACTATCTATGTTTTGATGTATTTTATGTTTTGTTAAAGATCTCATCCAGATGATTTTGATCTACTGTTTGTTATTACAATCGGTGTAACACGTCTACGGTATGTGGCAGATCTTTATCCACTACGTTGTTTATTAGTTCAGTTGATTTCTGAATCTGATCTTACATGGCATCGTCAATTATTCCTTCATTTTATCACCATTGTGAAAAACCGTTTGAACTTTTTGAATAGAAGTAATTCGCCTGAATTCAGTCCGATTGCTTTTGGAATGTATAATCCAATTTCAACAGAAGATATGTACAAATTATTAGCTCATCTTATTCTGCCATGCCTATCAAATGCTTTGGAACGTGGAGAAAATGAAATATTTTTTGGTGGACCTCCGAAACCTTTTGAAATGAATCGTAGGTTGCTTTATATATATATATATATATATATATATATATTATATATATATATATATATATATATATATATATATATATATATATATATATATATATATATATATATATATCCTAGTCAGTCCCTCATATGCAACTTAGATCCTGGAATATACGTAACACTTGGCCTGATCATCTCAGTCGATGATGATTCACAACCTCATCAACTGGTTTACTATCATTCCCTGGGTCTAACATCACTGTTACCTACCTGGTGATTTCAGCAGATCCCAGCAATATATCTAAGAAATTTGCGATGAGGTACTAGCAATTACCGGTATCCTCTATTCTTAATGGCCACGTTTTGAAGCCGTAAAGTAAAACAGAATGAACTGCTGTGCAGTATACTCGTCCCTTAATTAATAGACAGATATCCCACTTTCGTCCTAGGTGATGTAAGTTGACAAAAGCCAAACGAGCTTTTTAGTGGCCTGATGATCTGACTCCAAGATCGTATAAATGTTTGTTATCGCCTATTCTCGTATATCATCGTCGACTTAAATCGCGTTATCCAATAAAGGAATTAAATAGGTCGAATAACGAGAATTGACTTGAGAATACATATATTTCGTACATGAAGCGAATGAAACATAGCAAATCAAAATGACACGTATGGAAGATGGCTGGGAAGCCAACTCCATTTTAGTCAAGCGTTACTCAATATTTATAGTCAGACAAAATAAAGCTACAGACATGTGATTAATGGAATAAGAAGGGCACACACATATACGCTCATATAAAAACAATCAAGACTGACAAGCGAATAATTGACAAGGTCAACATATGACTCAAGTAGAATGAATAGAATGGAATGTCCGAAAACTAGAATAAGATATATTATAGGCTAAAACTAATGACTAACATTACAGCTTTTCGAATCTGCGCAGAGATTTCGTCAGATATCAACCCCTTAGGGTTGATCAAACTGTTGACGCGTTCGACTACTTCACTTTCTATCCTTAGTTCGGGTGTTGACGCAGGCCAGTCTTGAAGCATCAACTTGCATTAAGAGGGGGGTAAAACGCATCCCAAACATCCTGACTCTGTTGCTAAGTGCCATCGAAAGACTCTGAATTTCATTTGCGTCTTCAAACATGCTTGCATGATGTTCGTATTCTATATCGATAAGTGGACCTTCTGGTAACAGATGTCTCAGAAATCCACAGGTTTCAGAACTACCCTAGTGTGACCTCAGTTGTTCCTGGAATCTACTTTTGGCTTTTTCGTCACTCAGTTAAACTCTAATGGGTCTTCTTAATATGGATTTTCTACGTACGGCGAAGCGCAAGTAATTACGTACTCGTATTAGAGCACAGTTAGAGTATAAACATATATTCCAGAACGAGTGGGAGTCTTCTATCAAGCTTCTTTAATTATGACTGATGGCAATATAGTCTAATTGAGTCCATCGTTGGTTTGGTGCAGAGAATCACCATTTTAGACTATTTCTCTCCTATGTTTTAAATTAGTGTTTGGTAAAAATAAGCGATCGTCTGAGCACAGTTGCAGCATACGATCACTATTATCTGTTCACTGAACCAGAATACTAAAATACCCACCTAAATGTCTTTCTGTTCGGTTTAAGCTACCTATCTGGGCATTAAAGTCACCTCGTACGAGTACTATGTCTGAACGCTTAACGTTCTGAAGAAGTTCAGATAGCTTTCTGTAAAATTCATCTTTCATTTCATCTGAGCTGCAGTCACTGAGAGTAAGTTTAAAGTTTAAAGTCGATGTAGGATGAATCATAGGAATTGAAGAATGAGATTTATTGTGAATACAGTGAACTTGAGTGCTGTTAGAGTTATGAGAGCGGTTTTCACTTCCTGAGTGACCATACCATGGAAGGGTTCCTCTAGAGGTGCCTGAAAAGAAAACTGGGTTAGAGTTGTTCTTGGTGATCTGATAGCGTGACCACAGTGCTCCAGAGACAACTGTTTTGAAGCCAGTCACACCGGACCTTTTTGTGAGCGATTTTCGTGTTAGTTCCATACTTTAAAGAGAGCAAGAACAAAGGTTGGTGCAGAATAATATGAATTCATTTTATTTCGTTAGGTTCTCATCAGGTGCTTACAACCTAAAATATTTGAAATTTAACGTTATTATAGGTATTGACATACTTATACATCAGAGGGCGAAGGACGATGAATATATGTAACATGATGTAGCAAAGATTTCGTTAGAGTTAATGAGGTCATACAATTTTGTTTCGAATATATAGAGTTTGGGAGGGAAGGTTTCAGAACATTGAAATAGTGATTAGAAATCATGGAATTAAAACACATTAGATTATTGCGCAATGAAGTAACTGAAAATAGATAAATGTTAATAAAGAGAGATATGAATTGGAATTGATCAGTTATGAATGATGTAATTATAAAATTCAGAAAGAGTTGGAATGACGTAATAAATAAAAGGAGGGGGGTAATGTTACCAGGGCAAAGAAAGGTTTATTACTGTTTCTTTTTGTATACAAAGATCTGGTTTTAAACGTTTGATTGCTAACGCTACGGCAAATTTCAAAAGGTTTGAATTTGATTGTTTGTTGATCACCTTGAAGGACTTCAGTATATCGACTTCGTGTCCTGTGTCAAGGAGATGTCTTGCGATAGCGCTGCTAAATGCTTTTAGTCCGTTTGATCTCAAACCTTTCGGAATATTTTCTTTGAATCGGACGTAGGCTCTCCTTTCTGTTCTACCAATGTAACTGCTTTGGCACGTACATGTAAATTTGTATACATGGTTGGTGGTAACATGAAAGGGATACCTGTCGACCTTTGATTGTGTCAACGAACATGTTGTTTTGGACAGGACAATCAATTTAGCTGCAGGATATGTTTATGTCAATGCAGTTTTTAGTCTCATATTGATTGACCCTGTGACATTCTCGCCTTTGAATTTGAGTTGAATAAAAACAGGTTTTTTATTTACTGTAGTTTCTTTGAGTATTTCATCTTCACGTTTTCCATATTTCTCAATAAATTTCAATGGGTATCCGTTATTCCTTAAACACTTTTTGACATTCATAACTTCCTCTTCTATTGTATCGGCAGTACATATTCTTTCTGTTCTGTGAAACAATGTTTTGACAAGTGCTCTGTTATAATTGATTGGACAAAAGCTGTTGAAATGGTATTTATCTCAATAATAAAGGGAACTATGTATATGAAAGTTCCGTACTTGTTGAAACTTTTCTGACTGAAACGGATATCTTTGGGAGAAGGCTAAGTGTGCATTTTTAGGGTCGACGTTTTCTAACCTTATCAATCTTTTATGGTAAGGCAGCATCGGTGTTATGTTGGTTGTCTGAGGTAAACACAATACTGCAGTCACACCTCTGTTTAATCAGTAGTACGACTTTTCTCTGGGACCTTGAGTCTACTGCTTTTTTCTCACCGATCTTCAACCGACATGTCTGGCATGGTAGGACCTTTTAGGAACGACTTTTCCAGACAATGTAAGCCGATTGGTTCATAATAATAAGCAAGCCTGATCACCACGTCAAGGCAGCACCAACGGTCGGTCTGTATTTTATTGGGATCGGTACTGGAAAAGTTGAACTTTCAAGACTGTCTTACCTGAAGTTATTGTTTGTATTTTTCGTTTTTTTAATTATTAAATACTGAAATTACTGTTTTTTGGATTCTCCTGCTTATAAGCCTTTTTTCGTGATTCAGAAACGTTTTATGTGTCCACGTTTCCTAGGATACTGTTAATTTATTACGGGCATATTACTCAGTATCTATCCACTTATGACGTAGCTATTCCGTCAGTGAAATTTCATAATTATCCTGATGTTCAGCGTAGATTTTGCTTTCTATTATTGGATGATTTTTAAGCCATGTCTGAATTGAGTATAATTGAAAGCCAATCTGTTCTCTTTCTTCATCTCTTGATTGACTACTGTGTCGTAAAGTACTCAGGGACCAATAAGTTTTAAGATCTTGGTCGTTATTCATTAATCGGTGTGTCAATTGACACCTTGTTCATCTATCCTACTGGCAATACACGTGAGCTGATCAGTAGTCAGAATTCTGATTACGTGATTTTCTTAGTTGTTGGTCTATAGCGTTAAAAGAAAAAGATCTGTTTAATTTGGTGCTATAATAGAATACAAACAGTGCTTTATTTATTTCTCTCTCTTCCACACTCATACACAACCACTTAATCATTTAATCTTCTTTTAACCCTACTAGATTGTTTCTATGAAATGTCAGAGACAATACCTATTGTTCTGTGTAGATTGAGCCATAAGATATTTAAGGCCTAGTTTACATTGTTCACCTTAAAAATTGTACGATAACATACTAATACTCAACTAACACAATTTTTATCGTACTAATGGTTTCTAGCTACATAAATTGTTGCAGTTTTCACATTGAATTTCATAATTATATCTTTTTTATATTTTTAGACTATGATTTAGTACACTTGTTCACCTCAGTTTTACTTGAAGATCCAGCTGTTCAAACATGTACTGAACTTCGTGTTATGTATTACCAAATGGCTAGTTTATTTGTTTATCATACACCGAATTATGTTCACATGGGAAGTGCTTGGTAAGCAGTTTATTTTGACTACTTCATCCTGCTAAACAAACTCTCTAAGTAAAAGGTAGAGCGGCAGTTTAGTCATTAAAGCATTTGGCTTTTAACTAGTAAGTCACGGATTTTGTATAATGCACCACCATATGCTGAGCAGTATTAATAACCATCATACCAACAGTCTGGATGACCACCAAGTACATAAACGTTTGCTTGATAAGTGACTTTCTGAAGAAACTGCATTTCCACTGGTCTTGAGATTGACTCAAAACACTATTTATGGGAAATTCCAAGATGTAACAGTAATTATATGTTTATTACTAGTATGGTAAACTCAGTTAATTTTGTTTCTGCATCAGTTCTTCTGACGAGCTCAAAGGTGATTTATCTCATTTCGTATTCTTTTGCTTGATGTGTAATTAGAATAAATGTTTGCTAAGTCAGTCGAATGTTATCATCATTATATTGACAAGAAACTAATGTAAACAGAATTAATATACTGATAAAATCACTCCTGTCCTCCTTCATGAATTAAGGGAATTTCTGATCAATAAATATCTTTGTATTATATATCCAAGCAGAACAAAAGAAATTAATGTTTGCTCGGACAGTGCAATGTTAATTCTTTTGTGTTGTCTCTTTTCTACGTTATGTGATTAGAACTAAAAAGGCACCATAGTTCTCACCGCTGTTATTCAAGTAATTTTTGTTAAAAAGCTAGATGTTCGGAGGGGTTTAAGTAGATTCGATGCAAGTACATGATCATCATACCTAAAATATAATGTCACTAGATTATTAAATTTATAACGACTGTTAACGTCAAATAATCATTAATACTTATCCATTAATTATTAAGCTAATGAAATAACTTACAAACTTACTTCATGAAATATGTATTACAAATGCATTCCATGGGTACGTGTACTCTATTTTTTTGTAAGTGAACCAATAACATAGTATATGATTAGTACTTTTTTTTGTCTTTGTACGTTTTTCAGTGAACAAAGTTATCGCCTTCTTAAATTCACTGAGTTTGCCCGTCCTTGTTTAACAAGTAGTTTAACTGCTGTGGATCTTCAAGAAAAATATACTGGTCTTCAATTATTATCCCATTTAATTGCAAAATTCAATGTGTTACGTACAGCTACTATACAAGTGTTTCAATGTTTAGCAAAAGGTGCACATACAGAAACAAAGAAAATTGTTAATCCTGCATTGGATATTCTAATTCCAGCCTGGATACGGGGACCTGAAGACCAGGTAAAAAAACAGACGGAGGGAATACTTTTATATAGCGTTCGTTTTCAATCTTTGTTGTCTTTTGATAAGTAGTTATAAAGACATAATTTATCTATTATAATAGAAACAAACCATCTCAACTAAGCGAGGATGATATTATATTCATGTAAGATAGATTGGAACATAATTGAAAGTAACATTTGTTAGATTCTAGAGTTATACTGTCCCCTGCATTAACTAATAAAGTGTTAAATGTAATACATAAATTGGTTATCTGTTTATACTATTGATGAGTTTCTTCGAGATCGGGGCAGAGGTGAGGAAGGGGATTGATAAACTGCTTTTCATAATTCCTCATTTTCCATAGTTTTTAATTCATAGTATGAATGATCTTTACTGAAGTATTATTCTCAATCTTTGAAAATGACAGCTGGTGATGAACGTTTTTGTTTCAAATAACTGTTAAGTTAGATATTATTTAAAATTATTTAGTCATCCAATACAGATTGTAATAAATTTAAGTTGATTGTTTAGTTATTTTCTTTTTTCATTGGAATACAATCGGAATATTGTTTTCACAGTAGTAAATCAATATGCAAGAGTTTTGCAACAGTAACGCTTAGTATTAACTGTCACTCCTCTTGAGGTAGTAAAAAGTATAATAGTTATTCTAAAATGAACCATGGTTTTTAAACTATATATATAAACATTTTTGTTGTTGTTTACTTAGAAAATTTTCTACGTAATGAACGCTAAGATACACTTACTATAACAACCTTCTGAAGGTGCATCACTATTGTTTGTTTTCATTAATTATTTCAATTTCAAACTTTGATTCATATTTTCGCAATGACCTCTGCTGTTATTTGATTGGTTATCTTCACGCTTAGTTTACTACTTTTATCGTGTTTCAAGATCATTTTCTGCTGCTATATATACGATATTGTTGTACTTCAAATTTACTGTCTTAAATGTCTCGCCTTACTTCTTTTCCTGACTTGTCTTTATCTTCAGTCGCTTTGGATATTATTGTTGAGGTACTGTGTGGCAGTTATTAGGTCTGTTAAGTCCGTACAGATCCTTTCACATGTTAAAAGAATATACCAGTCGTTCGCAATTATTAATTGCCATAGGCGATCTTGAAACTGAATATAGTCGTAACTGTGAAATAATCATTTTCGAAAGAATTGCAATGTTTTTGATTGCTTTTTGTATTTTAGAAAGCACTTGCGTTGGCAACTAAAAAAATTATGCTAGAAGATCATGGTATTCAATCATGTGTTCATATTCTGTAAGTTGTTCTTCTTTAACTTTCTTCCTGGTGTCGGCATTCACTAGTTTATTTACTCTGGTGTTTTGTAGGAGTATTTTTATAGTTTGTAGACAGTTTTTGTAGAGAAATTATTTGTAACCACAAATTAGCATATCATCAAACTTAAGGATTACTGAATTACTGTTGTGTGATAGTTCGATACTCTCAGGACTTCTCATTCACGGCTTCAAATGAGATTTAACCTAAATACGCTTAAAGAACTAAGCCAAAATCCAATGGTCTACATTTTAAATTTTAGTTACTTAATGATATATCACAATCCTTAGTCACTTTCCTTGATAAGTGACTGTCCTACTTTTTGCTTGATTAATCTCACTGATCATTTCTCATCAAAAATTTGGGAAATGAATCTTGAAGCCACTAGACCCTAATGGGTATACAATTATTATTCTCCAAAGATGGTCTTCTTTTTTATAGTTTAAAACTGTAGGCTATGAAAATCATTTTCACTAAATCTGTAAGATGTATTTATAAATCCACCTAAAAATATTTTGATTTTGAAGATTCGGGGTTATTCACTTTGATAATGTTTAGGTTGTTACAAAATAAGATGTTTATGAAGGAGTATACATGTAAAAATAGTTATCATATCGGTGAACTTTATTTTTCTGAAGTTCTAGTTGTTTATAATTAATGTTTTCTCAGTTGGGTCAACTGTGAACCGGTGTTAAAATATTTTTGATATTTAATAAATTTCTTTAATTCATCATTTTGCTGCAAATAATTACGATTATGTATCACTGTGATAAACTGTTAAATAATTGTATAAGTTTACTTTGCAATTAAAGCACTCTACTGTCAGATTCAAGATCCACACTAACTGGATTGTATTATAAATTCTCATACAAACAGTTTGAGTAAAAATTGAAGCAATAAAATTGTTGCTTGACAATGATAATGCTATTTGAAATTTTGTAAATTAACACAAATCTACCTTTGCATTTAGGGTGCTCTGTTTGTTGGTACCTATTTCTAAATGTATTTGGAACCTTAAGAAATTGTATTCCCCCTCTGTTATTTGAATCGTTATTTTCAAGCACTGTGATAATTGATTATACATGAATTTCTTCTAGTATCTTTGTGTATGGCCATATACTTATTGATTCATCGTAATTGAAACTATACTTGTGTTTGTCTCGGTGATATTCGGAGTATTTCTTAGCAGATTTTGCGGTAGATATACAATTATCAGTTGTTTACTGAACACGATTGTATGTTGTAGAGCCCAATGATTTAAGCCTAAAAACTCTTAGATTTTAAAACTCAGATCGGAAATTCGGTTTAAACAACTGAATAGTGCTAATAGCTTTCAAAATAAGTTATAGCTTTAAACTGAATACACTAACTTTCCCTTGAATAATTGTCTAGATTCTCAATTATTTATAATTGTGAATATAAATGGTATCCATAGATTACTAGTATTCGATCATATGTGCCTTAACAGCATTGTTCGGATATGCTTGTCCTGACCATTTCAATCCTGCGGTGCTAATGTGACGATATGAAGTGATGCAAATATGTGCTTTGTTCTTTATTACCTATAATTGATTGTTGACGGATAAGTATTTATTCAACAACTTAATTTTTTCTTGATTGAATCATATCATCTATCTGTAATGTTTTATTTGTTACTTTCACTGATATTACTATTATCTGTATTATTTTGGCGTTCTTTGTGATAATTTCATCTCTTTATGCTGATACTATACGACAGAATAATAGATCAATACACATTTGATTAGGTTCTTACTATCCTACGACTGATTCACCAGTTTGTTTTCATTGGTCACATTAGTCATGTACATATTTTTTTTTATTTAGCTATACTACTGATTACAATTTTATGCTTTGGAAATCATAGATTTTCGATATTTGTTATTCATCTTCACGTATTCTTTCGTTCTCCTCTTTTAAATTTTCACATTCTAGGTAGTTTATTTGTAAATATCACTTGTTTTTTTTTTGTTACTCAATCAACTTTTTTGTTGTTTTCTCGCTGTTAAAGAGGAATAATTGTCCGACATTCAGATTTGTATTATCCAATACGTCATCAAATATTACCTCATATTATACTCATTATATCTCGACTTTCTGTTCAACAGGTGAGTAAATTATGTTCACAGTTTTCTTTTTTTTTTTTTTGAAATCTAACTTTATGGATTTTAACTAGTTATTTCAGAATTTGTGAAATTTCTGTTGTATAAGTTCCTTTACTGATTATTCTATTTCAATAATTCACACAACTCATATAGAGGTGTTGGAGTACTGGTATTGAAAATGTGATTTACTTTTTACTGATTATACTATGACAAATGGAAATCTCCGATTATTAAGGTGCTAAATTTTGTAACATGTTCTAGGATGAAACACTTTCTCAACTGCTTTAATTTAGACAGTCAAACAATAACATTATTTTACAAAAGTTTCAAAGTTTAGTAAATGTACCCTAGTTACATTTTTTAGTTGTTCTGAATTTTTGATATACAGTCAGTAAGTCAAAAGCAAACTTAGAACCTGATTCAAATATCCATCGTCTCAAGTTAATGATTTACACCGACGTAAAAATATAAAAATGTTTGTATTACTGATCACAATGACATATTATGGTTATTTACTTATAATGAGCTTTTCGTTCCACATTATGTTTTAGTTACCCCTTGAACAACGTCGATTAGCTTTAGATATGATCTATACTACAGCTCAATGGGATGTTCGGTGTCGCCGTGAAATAACTGAGAATTATTCAAAGGAGATAACTGATGATTTAAATCCAGCAGATAATAATAATTTGTCATTAACAGAGAATTTGAATATCCAAACTTCAGCTAAAGTAAGTATATATATATATATATATATATATATATATATATATATATAGTTAAAATTTTCAATGTATCGTAATATCAACCAATAGGTTGGAGATTGCGACTTGACCCTTCCACCAACTTTGGTTTCAGATGTAGAGTGCAGAAAATCAAAATTAATTGCACACATCTGTGTTTAGCAGTTCATTTATATTCAATAATTCTTAAGTCAACATGAAGAAAAATATACTTTTATAGATTACTAGGTTTGCATTACTGCTTTACGAATTGCAGGGTGTTTAATTATTGTCATTATTTTGATAAATGTAAGTCCTGTTATGTGTCTGATTATTTATCGAATCTTTGTTTACAAACCTATAATCTTCTAAAAGTCTGTATTGATGCACAGGGCATTAAAACGGAAGTTTCAACGAACCACTTGTTAGCTTAGTGTTAAAAGTTTCGGTTTGTTATGCTTTATTTAAATGTCTGTCTTCATCAAAAAACGCAGTCTCACGATGGCCAAATGGTGAACAACTATATTAAAATTCAGTGGTATGATGTTGACCACAAAAACACATAGCCATTCACGGTTTACATAAACTTTATTACTGTATTTTTGTTACTAACATTCGATCGTGTATTTCCTAAAAATTCATTCTAGACTGAACCAACTAACTCTCCTATGGATAAGCCCCAGCGTGATCAACTTGTAAATCTTTTAATTCGCTTCGCCTGTCAAGTAAGTTTTATTATATTGTTTCTGTAATATATATTCAGATATTATTGAACTTGGATTAACTGATTTTACAATGCAACAATATATTTATTAGAATGGATAAATTGCGGGAGAGCTTTTTGTCATATTTTGGACTCATCAGTTAGATATACATATATCTGAGTGCTGATTTCTACACTAAGACTTGAACACAATACCCATCGCTTCAAATACCAATGTTTCGTTCTTTTAGCTCCTGATTAGTTTGAAATGGTAAATATCGGATCTCCTAATTTATCAATCTGTTAAGTGGCAATTCTGAACTCAGTGAATAGTTGGTGGTACGAAACTTTTTAATGATATTCAAAATCGGTAGATCATAGCATTCTGTGTAGGTGTATATCATAGGAAGCGTATTTCAATGAATAGGAATCATTTTCTAAGGTATATATTTGTAGATACCAATGATACACCTGATAATTTTCGCAATTTTTAGGCTATTGACGCTAGTCAAAGTGGAAGCTTGTCTGAACAGTCTGTAACCCGAACGCTAGCTCAACTAGAATTCGCTCTTCGCTCTGATGTATGGGGTGGTGAAACCTGTGAACTTAGACTTGCATTTATTGACCGTTATTTCTCTCCGGACGATTCATCGTCTTCACACTCGATGTCGAGTACACCATCTGGAGGAGTTCCAGCTAATAGTCTCAATACACACGGAATACACATGAGTGGGACATCAAACACTACACCGACATCTACTCCCTCTGGACCCCACGCAAATGCATCATCTACTAGTGCTCTTGGTGCAACACAAGCCACCAGTTTATTAATGACTTTGGAGGTTCTTCGTGTCTTGTTCTCAACTTTGGTACGTTATTTACATGTTCTTAATCATGGTACTAGTTTTTCAATATTCTATATTCAGAGATACATTTACTTATAGACTTCCTGATTGTAAGTTTCATTACCAAGGTTTGACTTGATAATTTCGAAAAAGTTTAGCATTGGGTAGATTGCTATAACTAAATAATATATTTGTAATGTCTATATGAGTAGAAAAACTAGATTTTTCGGCGTTTCGTGACTCAGTGTAAGCCACTTCTTCAGAGAATAAATATTTAAGTCAAAATTTTGATTTGGTTATTTATTCTCTAAAGAAGCGGCTTAAACTGAGTCACGAAAACTCAGAAAATCCAATTTTTCTACTCATTTGAATATTATAAATATGTTACTTACTTAAGACTTCCTGATTATTCTCAGAGCCTTTGAAGTTTAATAAACCACTAACTGCATTTGTCAAATGTTTTCTTTTTTTTATTATAGGAAAGCCCAACTTTATTAATCAATGTAAAACATTTCAGTGTTGGATTATGTAATGTATTAACACGACAATTGACTAATGTTCGTTTAATTCGTTCTTGTGCTGGTCTTATACGTGCTATGCTTGAACGTTATCCAGCCGAAGCATCACATCGTCAGAAAGTTACTGCTTATCCTGAATTATATGATATTTATTCAACAGTTTTAAAAGCAATACAAGATTCATTCACAATGTTTAGTGAAAAGTAATGGATTAAATAACCATTTTTATTTATAATTATTTTTACATATAATTTTACATATTCAGTTATTAATTTCTTTCTATGGAACTTCAGGCATACAAATATGTCTATCAAATGGAGTCGAGTAGAAAATTGACATAATAATATAAACCGTAGTAAAACTGCATACTAAGAAAACGGTTTCGTTCAAATTTAAATGAAAAATGTAATAAAGGAAATTATATCTGGAAATTTTTCCGAATTAATAATATGAAGTGAAGCATTCGACTGGGTTGATTGGATATTCGTAAGTTACTAGTATTCGATCATAGGTGTCGTTGAAACAGTGCCTATGTATTTTGGAATCATCGAGTGAGCATTACTGAAGTAAGGCAATGCGTACCAGGTAAAGAGAGACGACAAATCGACTGATGTGGTGATGAATTTTTGATCAACTGAGGTGGCTAGTACATGTGTTAGGTGTAACCAATGATCACGTATCTGAACGTATGGAGTTGTCTGGTATCGCAGTATGTTTGAAGAAAACTAGAAGTAGTTTACCGAAAACGTGGATTCAGTCTATGAATTAACTGACAGTTTGATTTCTCCATGTTAATAGGTGCAACTTATGTTGTTGATGTTGGTGTGATTATCGTAACCAATGGTTAGAAATGGCTCAAAATTGTTCACACTGGCTCTGGGGCATTTAATCTTTGTTATCGTTTAGAACCTGAGTCCTGAGATCTTATTTTTCTTTGTTACATGTAGTCGGTTCTATCACTGTAAATACTGTTAGTACTTATCTTCAAATAATTTTATCTCACTGAATTGATGCTCATATGTATCAGCTTCTACACAGCGTATCACTAACTGACTGACGAACTGAAATAACTAAATACTAGTGTTATCGATCATAAATAGGGTTACCAATGCAACCACGGAGGAAAGTGTTTCACTCGTGTTAAAATATTAAGTATGGATTTTTCAAAAGTATGAACTAGAGTTGTTTTATGTGAATTGTATTTAATTTTTATTAAGAAGAATAACGTATGTATATGTAGAAAAAATCGACTAGATTTGGCTATGGGTTATGGTTATGAATAAATTAGCTATTTTATTGACATTTATACAATATCACTACTTTCAATATTTATATATGACTGTCAAATCATATTACGTACTAATTACTTTTCTAGTGTTTCTAAAGCAACGTTATTAACACGATTACAGTCGGCATTTCTTCTGTTCACATCAACACAAGTTCAGTCTAATCCACATGCATTTGTTGATCGATGTATTGTACAATTAGTTAAACTTGTTAATCGTCTTATACAAGATTTAGTTACACCGAATTGTAATTCTAATGCTCAAGAATCTGGTACATCAGCACGTAAGTAATTTTCTCATAATTTAGTTTTGGTTACAAAGTTTGATTATTTTTAGTAAGTATTAAGTAATTATCACTGTTGCAATATGTTGTAACGTGTGGATTGCACGGTTATGATAAACAGCGTTTATATCGATCGATTACAGTGACACGTAAAACACGTACGGACGACCTAGAGTCCCGATTGGTCCCGCTTCCCTGTCTAGCCCAGCCAGTTGAGCCTAGAACGCAAGTCACAGCCTCTGAGTTATGCATCGTTATATTTCAAACATACTCTATTTATATACTAACCAAACAGACCACATCGTACCATAAAAATAGAAAACAACATCTGTACAATATTTAACGAGTGGAATAAATAACGGCCAATAGGAAATGTTCATTTAACGTCCAAGGACATCATTAGACTTAACATGATAATAATTGGCACATTATTCCTCAGAATCCATAACACAATATAGAATTCTCCGGTTACTGACTTCCTAACCGCTTCCTGTATCCCCAGATTATTTGTACTTGTGAACTTGAACAATTGAGAAAATGTGCGAAATATGGCTAAAAGCTCTACTACAAGGTTAATCTGTGTGCAAAACATCAAGTTTATTTATAAATATTCCGATGACTTGAATCTTCTAGAAACTTTTGATCACGTCCTATATATGGTAACATCTTAAGCAAGGCGTGACACATAATCCTTCATTCTTTTAGCTATTTCTGTAAAACTTCTTTTCAACGTTGATTGGATAGAACTTTTTCAACTTTTTCCTATGCTTCTAGAGAGGGATATTTGAGAATTCTGAACAGATGTTTTTTTCGTTTTCCCTCTCACCTTTCTCATATATATGAAGTACGGAAATGCTTTTCATTCATACATTACCTACTTTGGATAGTTGGAATTTTCTAGCTCCTTATGATGCAATCCCGTACTATTTTTCATAGACTACAATCATATTATTACCTCTTATACAGATCCACTTAACGAAATTGTCCGGGAGAAAAATGTTTTTCCCGCTGATTTATCCTGGCCCATCTTGAAGTATAATGTTATCTATAAATGAATAAATCTGAAAAAATTAGTGATCTATTTGTATATTGTGTGTATAGATGTAATGTGTAGGATATATTGATTGTTTTAAGTAATAAAGTGTCTACAAAGTAGCTATATATATTATTTTGTTTACAAGCACCTAATCGAATGGTTATGTTTGGTTTAGCTTGGTAGTAGATTAATGTATACTTCTGACTAAATGTTACTACACTACTACTCAAATTTAAGTAGAACTAACTGAATTCGAATTACTAATGCAATAGTGACTGAAAGTTATGTACTTAAACTATTGAGTTATAAGTTTTTCAATTGTTTTAAACCTAATTTACTTACTTTATTATACTCATAACTTATCATATCCCTCCTTCTGTATGAATGATAACAACTTTTAATTATCGTTACGACTAGTAGATTTATCACTGTATTGAAATGTTCACATTTTGTTGTTAATTTATTTGTATCTGAGCTTGATTTACTTCACTTGTCGTAACCATAGTTATATGTATTGAAAATTTCAGTTACAATATATGAAGTTCGAATTAAAAATGTATAATTTTTATTAACTAATGTTTGAAGTTGATTTTTAATGAATGAAATTAACCTATCTTTTTTATCCTTTGGTTTCGTTCATAGACATTACTTGATGTAACGAAGTTTTCATCAACTCAATAATCAAAGCCCAATCTATAGTGTATTAAAATGTTATTGAGACAGCATAAGTAACTGAACAAACAAAATTTGAATGGGTATTAGTCCCTTTTAATATTTTTCAATCCCTCTTTTCGTAGTTTTGCACAGGTTACTGTTGAAGCAGTGTATAATATTGAAGGATCATACAGAAAACTCTTAAAATATTCATTAATTTTATATCTAATGTTGCCATATTGCTTTTATAATTTAATTGTTATAATAATGATTATTTGTATATTATTATAACAGAGCTTACTGACTTACTAATTATGGGTCTTGAAATGATCAAGTCACGGTTGAATGTTGTTAGTCATGAAATGCGTAAAACTATCTTTGGTCCAGATTTATGTTTAATTATGGATAGAGCGCGAGATCCTCGTTTATTCTGTGCTGTTTTACAAGTTTTACGTGATTGGATAAATGTACCGAAATCAGAAGAACATTTCGCTCCAACAGCTCGTGAAAAAGTCAACTTTTTCTATAGACTTTGGCAAGCTTATCCACGTTGGATTGACAATTCACCTGATGTTGCCAGAGAAATTCTTGAATGCGTGTACGATGTAGGTTGTTTTTTTTTTGTTTGACTAATTGATTTCTAATGGATGGATATTTCATATGCTTAAAACCTAAATTTTACCTATTAAGTTTTATTTTTCATGTTGACTTGTCTTTATTATTGCATTTTTATTTGTTACCTATTTGATATCTGTGCTTTAATTTATGTGATTACATCACGTACTGTAATTTAAAATTGTAAACACAGTATAGAAAGCTATACGATATTAGAAGTATATTTTCAAAGTAAACCTATTGACAGTTAAATAAATCAAAAGTTTATGAGACATTATCACTACATGTACACCACAAAGCTTCATTTATTTTTTATATTTTCACCCATCTCAACAAATACTCTTGTGTTGATTGTGTGTGAGTTACACTGACCTGTTTCTTCAAACTGGTTCGACTGCGTTAGGTTAGTTGTACAATTATTATGTAACCCATCTTGCTCGTTTTCTAGTTTTATTTAATTCCTGTCTATTTGTTGTAAAGTATAAAATACAAAAATTTGTATTTTATAGTTTTCCTAGTACCTGACTTTTGTACAGATATTTTGGTATCACTTTCTAAATGATCTAATCTGTAAGCAATTTTACTAATACTGTTTCATCATTTCAGTCAATCACAGTAATCAGTTTTGATCATATGTGACATTACGTTAGCTTTTGTTCTATTTGTTAATTTTATCGAACTTGTACACAAATAACGAGGATAAGCAAGAAGAAAATTCGTTTTTGTTACTATTCTTTTATTGTTTTTTCTTTTTGTATTCAGATATATATTAGTTTCTTTCTTCTATTTAGGTAAGTGTTATCGAAATTGTTGGATTGGATTCCAATTCAGTGATTTGAAGGTTGAGCCCTCGTTGGCAGTTTGAAAAGTCTTTAGTTTGATCTTAAGTATAGTTTTGTGTGTACACTGCTGAGGAGTCTCATAATGGGATATAGCGACTGTCCAATGCTTCCTGATTCTCAATGTTTGTTTAGCTAATGTCAATTCGTAATGCAAAACTGCAAAATATTTCTTTACCTTGTGGAAAACATATATATACATATATATATTTACTTAGATTCCATTGTTTCATTTGTTTTTTTATTCTCCCGTTAATATTTTCGCTACATTCTAACTTCTTTTTCATAGGTTTATGCCAGTACAAGTGTATTTAAAAATCATGATCTTTATATGAAATTGGAACAAGCATTTTGTTGTGGCCTTATATCACCATTTCCTGATATTAATGAACGTTTCATTTCTTTGTATTTGGAAGCATCTCAAATTCGTTATCCAACTAATAGTTATTCACGTAGAATAGATGTTAATGTAACAAATTGCAATAATGAAAATATTCCTTTATCATCATCAACTGATCCGACTGATTCTTATTCTGACAAAGAAATTTTATCTACTGATCAGTCAGTTTCATCAAATTATTCTTGTGCTTCACTATTAGTCCGACTATTATTTCTTCTTGTTTCCAACACTTGGGATGAAGCTCATTTTCGTGATGGATTTTGGCTATCTGTATTTTTAGACGTAAGTTATTTACTCATTCTGATTTTCTCCTTTCTCTCTCTCTCTCTCCCCTATATATATATATATATATATATATATATATATATATATATATATATATATAACATATCCTGTTTCCATGTACATGTAATGTAATAATGTTTTTCTTCACTCAATCGGTGGTGAAACTTGTTATCAATAGCAAGTCTATTTTTATTTTGTTTCTCTTTCCAAATGCTTCATGCTTTTAAGTATATAACTACAGATCTAATTTAAATTATAACTAGTTATATTATTTCATTCTTCCATCCTGTAAATTGAAATATTTTGACTGTCATGTTTAACTCTATTGATGAGCTCCTACTTAGCCTCTTTCACAGTAATCTTTTTTATGTTTCCCACTGCGAATATTGAACGTCGGCTATTTCAGTAGGATATTTGATCTAACTAACATTTTCTTTCCTTTTTGATATATTTTTTCTACTCTTAGGTACTGTTGTGCGATGTGGATACAACCGCTCCACCAGTGTTGTCCATAAATGCTCAATGCTTTAATAACATTTTCAATTATTTTTCGAAATTACCTAGTGTTTCAACAAATGAAATATCAATTGATGGTTTGACCCATGAACAAACTACCACTCAACAATCATGTGATCCACTTCAAATTAACGAATTCAAAGTCCTTGTCGAATCACAAATTAAAGGGCTAAATGAATTACATAAAGTAGGTTTATTTGTTTCAGTTAAGACATTTCGAATGCTTTTTTCTTTGGTATTTTACTATGAGGTTTTCCAAAACAAATTTTAACATCACTTTTTAGTTACTTCTTATCGTTACGATTCGACATCTCTCTCAGTACTATGTTATAATAAGTATTTAGAAATAGTGTGTATTTTTCTATAGAGCAACATCGGATAAATGACAATTTAGAAAAGTCATCACTTTTTGGAACAAACGTGATGGGTCTTAATGAAGAGATCACAATTTATACATTATACTTTAATTTACTGTAATCGGATGGTATAAGCGTATGAGTTAACTGAACGTTTCATTGGCCATTGAGAATACTAGATATTCGTGGGTTACTAGTATTCGATCATAGGTGTCTTTGAAACAGTGCCTATGTATTTTGGAATCATCGAGTGAGCATTACTGAAGTAAGGCAATGCGTACCAGGTAAAGAGAGACGACAAATCGACTGATGTGGTGATGAATTTTTGATCAACTGAGGTGGCTAGTACATGTGTTAGGTGTAACCAATGATCACGTATCTGAACGTATGGAGTTGTCTGGTATCGCAGTATGTTTGAAGAAAACTAGAAGTAGTTTACCGAAAACGTGGATTCAGTCTATGAAGTAACTGACAGTTTGATTTCTCCATGTTAATAGGTGCAACTTATGTTGTTGATGCTGGTGTGACTAGCATAACCAATGGTAGTAGTAGTAATAGAAGTAGTGCTACACCTGTAAAGCATGATATATTTTACTGTTCAAAGTTATTGTACATTTTAGATTACTACGAATTCATTTATCTTTATCGCAGTAATGTGTTTGGTCGTTCTTCTAGCTCCTGTGTTTCTCTTGTAACTGTTTTGTTTGATTATTGCTTAAACTGTAGTTGTCAATCAGTTCAGGACTACGAGGTATGCTGTGTCTCGCTCATAAACGTCCAGCCCTGGCTAGCAATATTTTTCAGCAACTTTGGCCCCAAATATGGGATCGTTTACTGCTACAGCAGTCGGAAACGTTTTGTTCTTCATCTGAGTCTAAACCAGCAGAACATTCCGAAACAATTTCATCCGTTCAAGAACATTCTAACACATTGCAAACGGGCTTCGTACACGAATCACTTCAGACTGGCTGCTTAGAATCATCAATCTTATCTGATAGTCCTGCAGCAAATGGTCATAATTTGTCTCCAAATGAAATTCGGGGCTTCGTTATTCCTCAGTTGATTCGTTTCCTAACATCAGATCAACATGTACATCCAGCTGAACCCCAACCGAGTTCCCTTGGGGCTTTCTTCAATGGTTTGGCCTCATGCCCAGATACACTGCTAATTCATTTACCCTTGCCTGCAATCACTGTAAGTTATTTCTTTCGTATTCCAGTAGACAGTCAGCTTAGTAAGTAATTCCTAATGTAATTTGTTTTAATTAATATGTATTTATTTCTTATTCATACAAACTTTTGTATTTTTTTTGTAGTATCTAGCACAAGCTCACAACCAATGGTATACAGTTGTTCTATTTCTTGAATCAATGTGTTTCCAAGCATCTAAATTTAATGGCCAATGTATTTTGAATGATTTGATCTACTCAATCGATCCGCCTTCCAATGAGCAGTCTGACTTTATTCTTTCTAATTTAAAACCCCATGAATTCCCATTTGGAGCTGCAACTCTATCACTCATTTCATTATATAATGAAATGAATGATATTGACTTTTTGACTTTCGCTTGGTGGTATCGAATATCTTCTCACCAGAGACATCAAAAGACATTCGTTGAAAGTATGAACGATTCTGTACGGTCATCGTCAGTACTTACATGTTTAGAATTTGCTCAGCATGGTTACCTCTTACGATCTTTGGATTATGCTATGGATAATCTTTCAGGTAGTCAAGTTCTGAGTACTACGAATTCACTAGAAGTATCGTCGTGTGTGGGAAGTTCGGCATCATTAAACCGTGCAGCTGCTGCCGCAGCCGCATCATCGTCAACTCATTTCCTTCCAGTCGCCCAATCATTCTTGCAGATCCTTCACTACATTTAGGAGAACTTGTTAATCGTGCACGTCTTCGTGATTACTGTGTCCTGTAAGATATATTATTGACCTCGATCGATAAGCTACTTTCAGTTTTTATTGTTTATTAAAGCAATTATTTTTTAAAAGTTTCTAAATTTTCTCCATCCAAGCTTGTAGTGTTTTCTTTCAAACTTATTTGACGCACTTTGACAGTCCTAGTGGATACAGTATAACCATGTCATAGAGACTAAGTAAATCCCGATCGCATTCCTACCTATATTATGGAATTCATTGGCTAATCGACGACAGCATCATGAGTTTGGACCGATTGTGGGAGTTCTGTTCATGTCAGCAACCATTATTAAGGCATATTTAATTCTGAATTCAGGGAGTTCGTTTATCTAGACAGGCATAAGCTTTCAGGGCTGCAAATACTCACTACTAAATTCCAAAGGGTTCTAATCCACAGCTGACTATTTGACTTTAATTATTTGTCACTAATTTATGTACACGAAGCTATTCTGTCACTTGATGGGTAGGTTTAGTCATCCTCCGTTTACTAATCTGTTAAAAGATAACTCGAATGTTGGTATAGTTAGTTAGTATTTATATAATATTCCTGTTATGAAACAATAATTCAAGCCTTTGTCTTTCTTATCACATTTAGTACCCATGTTTTCACACTATCAGTATGTACTTTTTACTTATCATGTTTAGTGATGTACTCTACGTCATTGTTATCATCGACTAATAGGCAACTGCTTTGATTAGATTAATATTTTCATGCAAATGTTATTGTATATTAGAGTAAAGCTTGATGAAGATCTATTTGAAACATTATCGACTTATGCGTGTTGTTCTATTTTGCAATATGGGGATTTTTAACACTTTAGAATTGAAAAGTATTTTGGAAGAATGTAATAAAGTAATTGTGTAGAAAGTTAGAGACATTTAAAGGAGTGTACAAATATTTTTTATATGCAAAGGTTAATTTTCTCGATTTGTATTCCTATGGCTTCTGCTTTATGCAATAACTAAATCCTGGAAGAATAGGGATAGATAACTTTGAAAACTGGATTTATATCGACGTGATGATCATTATCAATGTTGTACACCATAATAGAGTTTCTAATTATATATTTTCTAGTCCTTTGGTCAACCATGAGGATTCATAATCATACTTAAAAACCAATGATTTGATGCCTTGAAAGCTGTTTAGTCTTCATTCCTAAAGATTCTCGAAATATTCAGATATGCCCAGTTTTCACCAACCGTCTTAAGGTATAACATTAATGCATTGCATTAAAACACTAATATGAAAATTTTAATCATCACTCTCATTGTATTGCTCCTTTTTTGTCTTCTTCAAATATTCAATATTTTGTTGTTATTATTGTAAATACTGTTGAAATTCAGACAATTAAAACAACTTGGTCAATGGGAAAGTTTAGATTCTTTAGCATCTTCTATTCAATCGGCCAATCATATGACTAGTTCATTCGGTTCTACTTCAACTTCTGGCGGAAATCCGAACACTGCAGCTGTTGTTAGTTCAAGCAATTCTGGTGGTTCTAGTTATTGGGGTTTAAAAGCAGATGCAGCATGGCGACGAAGTGATTGGTCTGAAGTATACTATGATTTGGCTAGAGTAAGTTATATATATAATCCTTAAACATTCCTGTTATCAATAATTTTTCTATATTTACAACTAACTATAATATAGAGTTTTGACAATGACATTTGTTTTCAAACATTGCCTGTTAATACAACTAAATGGTTGTTATAAATACACTGTAATGTGGATTTTGTTTGTTTTTATATGAATTTTAACATTTTGTTTGCGAGAACTATTTCTGCATTATTTATTAATTTAAATTATGTATAATTTGAAAGGATGCATTTTCCTGTTTCATTTCACTTTCTTTTTCCTTTAAAAAATAGTTGGCTAATGAATGTCCTCGTAGTGAACTACCAAGATATGCTCTTATTCAAGCTGCAGCTTGTGTAGCAGGACGTCGAGCACCTGGACTGGGAGCAATCAATAATCCAAGTGTAGATATTATTGATTCTTATAATTCTAGTTTAAATTCAAATGATATATCCACTGGATCAACAACTACTGGTCCTAGTTCATCTGTTCCAAATAATACTAATCCAACTAATGTCACTTCAACTCCTCCGTCTAATGCTCTACATTCTAATACTGGGTCTGTATCACCTATGAACAATATTGTCAATATGATTCACGCTTCAGAACAAGAAAGTCATCGTGTTGTAATTGTTACACTTATGGAATGGAGGCGTTTACCTCTTATTGTTACTGCTCAGCATATACCTTTACTTCAGGTAATTGTTTTTTTTATATCGATAATATAATTTTATAGAAGATTTAAATTTTATTTATCATTGAATTAGATATTGGGACGAGACTATAACTTATGGACGAACCAATGAGATTTAAGATAGCAGGTCAGATTTTGGTGTAAGATTCATCCACTCACTTGGCTAAATAACATTTCTGCATTATAGCTGATGTCAGTTCGTGATGAAAACATCGAATATAATTTGTAAACCTAACGTTCAACTGTAAATCCTAATCTTAGTTTCTCGCACCAATTCATAACCCTCATTTAAACCTAGTAAGTAGATGGACATTTTCAAGGTCATTTTAGCGTTTCTCAAAGGTCGTCCATAAATCAGACTCACCGATATTGGATTTTACATGTTTTAGAGATTTATTTAGTTAATCTTTTTTTTGTTAATGCACAGATTGCTCATCGTGCAGTTGAAATAACCGAAGGTAACAGTTTATTAGCTCAATATTGTGGCCATGTCCTGGGTGGTTCTACTCTTGCTTCTGGTGTGTCTAATTCTTCTTATTCTAGTCCTAGTCAAACCAGTTCTGGATCATCCACACCAGTACCACAAACAAATTCAATTTCCACACCATCTGCATCATCAGTCAATATGCGTTTACCTTTTAATCAAGCACTTCATGATTATAAAACTGTATTCAAGGCATGGCAGTAAGTCATCTACTTTTGACGGTTGTCAACATATTTTTAGTTGAAAGTGATATGTTTCCACTCATTACATCTGTTTGAATTTTCTGATTACTTTTCTTTGTATATGCTCTGCATTTCCTTCACTCGTTCTTTAAATGTTTTAATTCGATTACATGCAAGACAGACAATCGGTTTTATGTTGCTCTGTCGAGTCCAGTTAAGTTTCCCACCCAACGAAGTGGGGGGGGGTATCATATGGCTCTTCAGGTAGAGAAGAGCTTTGAAAAGACAGTACGACTGGAGAATATTTGCATATAGGGATTATGATATCAGTAGTATGGGTAATTAACTTGACCCACACTACGTAGTGCAGATTTATTCTTATCACTTTTCGAAGGTTTTATGCAAACCAGATGCTCTGATGAGCTACCAATAAGTTCACTAGTGAATAAAAGTGGAAACTATCCCCAAGTATGTTTCATATACACACATTCAAATGCAGGTATCAACGTTACATACATTCCAGTGATATACTTATTGGCATAGATGGGCGCCGTTGCTAGTATACTTTACATGTAATTATAGAATTCGTAGACAAGTCCACACATCCCACAAATACATATAAGCATAGAAGTTTCCACTCGTAAGTATATGATGCATACACATAGTATGCATTATCCAAGGCCCATACAACTAAATATTGATAAACTTAAATTACTGTTTTGTCAAGTCCTTCAATATTGTTCAGATAGTATCGTTTAATTAATAATCCAACTACATAGTACATTTGCATTATTATTATCATTATTATTATCTGCTTTATTCAATATTATATTTTTGGCACAATATAGAATTCTCAGCGTAAAGTATTTCAACAATTTTCCGTTTCTTTCTTCTTGGTCGGTCCTGGCGATAAATATTGAGTGATCGCCAGTTAGATGTTCGCACTTCAGTGAATGAACATCTGAATAATGTGCATTCTTTTCGTTGTATATTGCCAGCAACCACATTGTCTCTTATTGAGTTTTTTGTAACTTTGACAACGAAAGGTTGTACACTTTTCAGAAACGCAGCAGAATAGGTTATGCGATTCATAAACATAATGATGTATCAAAACAAACAAAAATCTATAACTTGTTGAAATATCTAGATGGCAGGAACAGGTAGCCCAGATGCTCAAGCAGGCCGCCCTTTGAATGTGACAGTTATCTGTTAGAGATACTATTATCCAACACTATTGAATTGATGCTTAGTCAACCAGCATTTAGCTTTTTATCAACATGTTTAGTGTATTACAATTTCTGTATCGTAATTTCAGATTTATACGATTGTACGCTATTCTTCACGTGAAAAATAATTATTCTGTTTATTAAACTATTGTTTTCTTTCACTTAGATTTCTTTAGTTTGAAGTATTGTATTTCTCGATTTTTTTTCATCATTCTGTTTATTCTACTGTCGCTGAAACGTCTCTTGTTTATTCATTATTGTTGTTAGGAATTCTCACCTTTCCTTTCTCATTTTCCTTATTTGGTATTCTTTATTACTTTTTGTTTGCCCATTATTTCAGAAGTCGACCATGTTCAATTGGAGATGATTTAGGATTTTGGCATGATCTTTATTCATGGAGACAAGTAGTTGAAGAATGTATCATAAGCTGTCACCCATTTTCCCAAAAGTTGAAATCCGAAAATGTAAGTTATGTCAGTTTGATTTCTTTATTGATTGAAATTGTACATGTACACCATTGGATGCCGACCCCGCAGTCCAGAGGTTGAACGTCTGCTTGCAAGACTGATGATTATGGGCTCAATTTCCTGTAGTTGTGAATGTGTACTGCTGAGGAATCCCATACTAAGAGGAAACAACTGTTCAGTACTCCCCGATTTTTAATGGCGGTCTTGCCAAGATAAGATCATGATTCAAACTACGAAAATTCTACAATCTCCGCAAAACTCCAATACTGATTTTTAAAAATATCAATTTTTTGCCGTTAAGTTTGTATTTATTGACTTTTAAATAATTCTATTACAAATACTCCATACCTGTTTCAGAAACTGCTGTTTCTCTCAGTTTGCCTGTTTATTTGCTAATTTACTCATTGAAAACGGTCAATACACAAATGGAAACTCGGCAAGTTCTACATTGAATGTTCAGTTTAACTAAAAGTCAAAAAGAAAATAAACAAACAATTTCACTTGTTACACTGATATCCTTATTTTAGTCAGATCACTTGAGACTTGTAACAGTATGTCTTGATTCTCATCACTGAAAAGATCTTAATCAAATAGATACTTTTGTACTTATGGATTCAATTCAAACTAACAGTCGATTGACTAAATCAGCTTTAATTTACTGAATTTTCGAAACCTTGATGATCGTGTGTGATTGTCTTATCAACTAGTTGGTTAACTTCATCAATAAACCTCTCTTAAGATCAGTTTTCAAAGTGTAGTGTAAAAAGTGTCATACACAGTTGTTTTTAATGCAACTTAAGTATTTTGTTTTGATGTTATAAGTGTATAATACCAGCATTTAATTTGACGCAAAAGAAGTGTATTATTTATCATTACTGCTAAACCAAACTTGTTAAGTATTGAATAAAAGTGTTAGTATTGTTTGTCGTCTATGTATAGAGTGCAAATGACTGAAAAAATGAAAGAATTCTCTTACCCCTTTTTATTTTAAATTGTTTTTCAGAGTAATTTAATCGCACTATGTCAGCGTGAATTAGCACTGAGCCAATTACAACTTGCTCGTGGTGCACGCAAATGTCGTTTCCCAAGTATTGCTCAACAACATTTAGACAGGTAAGTAATGTCTATTCTTTTTAAATTATATAATCGGTTAGAAATGAAAAACTATTAAAGTATAATTGATCACTTTAGCCTAACTATTTACCTAAGTGTAAAATATTTAAAGAAAAATGTTATACAGTTGGAATTCGGGAAATAAAAGGCGCTTAACAATCGTTTCGTGCTAATTCTTATTTATTTCTTTTAAAGTCGATACAGAAATTTACATTTCGATGATTTATAACAATATAATTCATGAGTTAATCTAAACTGGATCACTATTGAAAACCTCGAAGTACTGAACGGCCGTTTCTTCCTATTATAGAACTCCTCAGCAGTGCTCACCCACGATCCCGTATGTGCTTACTAGTGACTAGCTTCAAGATGGATTTCCTGGAGTTCTAGTGAAAAAACGGCGACCAGCGGAGTCCAATCCGTGTCGGATGTGAGACAGTTATCCACCTTAGACAATGTACGAATGGTCGCGCAAGATCATGGATCGATTGAAGTTAGAGATTAACACCACTGAAAGCTAGATAAGTAATCGAGACCGAAGGTCCTGGGTTCGAGTCCCTGGTGCGGAATTGTGGATGCATACTGCTGAGGAGTCCCATATTAGAACGAAACTGCCGTTCAGTACTTCCAGGTTTTCAGTGGTGGTCTAACTTAGATCGATTCATGAATTCAACTGTTAAAATACTACATTCTCCATAAACCCTCATACCGATAATTAGATGAATAATCATTTTTCACTTATAATACATTAAATCAGATATGATACTGACCATGATTAGAAAATAGATTAATTATAAACTGAAAGTTGTACAAATATGTCATTTGTTTTTGGGTGAGGGTTTATTTGATAGATGAATACTTCATAATTGAATGAGATTTTTATTTTCTCAATACAATTATTTCTAGTGTTTATTAATTTATTTGTAAATTAGATATACACGTATGAATCTGCCACCATTATTTGAGAAAACTAAACAAGAAATCAAGTTAAAATTGACCGATCTACGTAAAGATGAACTTTTAGAGGTGAGTTCATAAAAAAGAATATTGTAAGATTAAATCTCCGACAACTTTAATTTGTAATTCAATGGGTTGGATTATCATGTCGTTGATATTTTTGATTACTCGTAGTTGGTTTATGTGCATGCTTTGCGGTTTGCCTTGTTATAACCATTGTTATAAGTTTTTATAGAGTAGGAGGAATGTCGTTAGCAGTTGAATCCAGGACAAATGTTGCACAACTCAGCAATTATCTGCATTCAGTAGCTTGGGGGATATTGCGTTAGTCGTTTTGAGGGCAAAGGTAATGGCCTTGAGTCCTGGTATAAACATCAACACTGAGGTGCTACCATATCATATTGACAAGTCTTTAATAGGATAAAAACCCACTTCCTGGATTTCAATGGTAGCCACATTCTGTTAGTTCATCAACCTATGGTTAAAGAAGCACAGATTTGTTATAGATATCAGGTTATTATTATCTAGTCAGATTTTGAATGCCAGTTCGACTACTTGAATTGATGTATAAATTACTAAATCATGTCATACTTTTATTAGTGCAAAGGAAACAGAAAATTCAATGTTTTTTTTATTGATAATACACATGTTCACGATTCTTACTTAATTTAAAAACTTGGAGGTTTTCCTGTATCTAATGATTTTACAATAGATTAAGACATCGAGTATTTGAATATACGTACTCTGAAGATTCATTACAGTGAGTGATAGCCTAATAATTTAGTGGATAAGCTTCATTTATTATTGTGTTTGAACGAATTAGCAATGGGTTTTGTATATGCAAACGATACTCAATTATTATCAGAATGGGGGTTTGTGGCGATTTTAGTAATTTAATAGTTGAATTCATGAGCCGATTAAAGTTAGACCACCATTGAAAACCTAGGAAGAAACGGCCGTCCAGTGCTTCCAGGTTTTCCATGGTGGTCTAACTTTAATCGGCTCATGAATTCAACTATTAAAATACTCAATTAATATACGTTTTCTGTACAATCCGTCTTCTTCAAAGTACATATTTTACATAAAATGAAATCTTTTTCAGGGATTGGAACTTATGGAGAAGACTAATATTCAACAGTTTGAGAAGAAAGACCGAGCTAAATTCTTCTGTTATAAGGCTGTTTTCTTCTCTCATTTTAATAAGTAAGTTTCGTAATTGTTTCTATTTCAGATGTGTTCAAATCTGTTGTTGATTTATTTGCTTTTTTCTCGATAACTGAGACGTAGAATGTGTCCAAGGTTTTTTAACAGTTTTGCAATTTACATCATTTTTGATGGAGTTTTAGAATACTTATCCTATTTCCAGTCATGTTTTACCAGTAATTCCGGTTAACTAATTGTTTCAAACGAATTTATTTTAATAATCTCTGTTGACATGTACTAATACATACATGCACTTTTTCTCTCTTACATTTCTACTCATATAGAGGCGATGAAGCGACAAAAAATTTCGGTTATGCAACTCAAATGCAAGACAATCTACATAAAGTTTGGTCAATTTATGGTGACTTTTTGGAAAATGTTTATTCTAGCTATCCATCTGTGTAAGTTCTCCCTTTTTCCAGTTGATTATTTTTTTGGTAAATCGTGAAGAAAAATCATATGTCATTCGATGATATTTGGGGTCTTCGTAGTATTGTTTTTATATTGTACATTCCAAATGTAGCTTGTCTAATTCGATTGATTCTTTTCAGAAAACGTGAAGTTGCTGTATCAACAACCGGTATTTTTGCTATGCTAGCGCTTATGGAAGCTGCTAGCGTTTCTGGTGATATTGAACGAAAAAGCCGGGGTGATATTGCCAAGTGTTTATGGTTATTAACACTTGATGATGTTAACGGTCAACAACGCTTGGGACATACTTTTGAAGCTAGAGCTAGTCGAGTTCGACCAGAAGTTTTTTTACCATGGCTTCCGGATCTTGTAGCATCTCTTTTACGTCCAGAAGGTCGTTTTATCGTTTCCGCTTTACGTAGAGTAATAATTGCCTATCCTACAGTTCTTTATGGTCATTTAAAAGGTTTACAACATCAGTTAGCTACAGAGGTTAACAATGATCAAAAACTTGCTGAAATTATTCATAATCCTGAAAGTAAAGATGATCCTTATATTATTGCTATTCAAAATCGTATTACATCAACACTAGGTTCAGGAAAAGAAGCATTCATAAAATGCGGTAATTTGTCTTGGTCATTGAATCGTGGAACTGGTACATTTGATATTAATAATTCCGATGGACAAACAGGTTACAGTTATAGTAGTACACATCATCCATTTTCATTATCTTCAACATCTTGCAACACTCCTAAAGTTGGTTCTCATAATAACAATAATAATAATAATAATAATTCCAACACCATATATCCTAATTCTTGTGGAGTTAATTCGTCGATTTCGTCGAATTCTAATACTTTGAGTAATTCAAAGAAAAAGAAACGTGTAATTGTTGTTATGCGAGGTGTTGAAGGTGAACGATTGAATACATCACCTAGTTGTTCACCACCACCACATCCACTAACACCAACACTTAAACAACAGAAACCTGATTTTATTGGACAATCATCATCTCGTTCAATGAATCATCCTAAAAAGGTTGTGATTCGTGGATCAGATCATGACTCAACAATACCTCCTAATTCAGATCACGATCAAATTGATTATTTAAGTGAAGATGCTGAAATGACAGAATTAGAAGAAGATACTGAGATAACTGATGCTGATCGTGATGATGAGGATGAGGATTTCACTGGAAATGAAGATATAGGATTATATGAAACTGATTCAAGCACTAAAAATGTAATCAATGATTTAGAGCCCAAAGTTGTCTTATCCGATATTGATGATGATGTTGTTGGTAGTGATCCTGTGACTGGCGCCATTTCAACTGATTTAGTCGAACAAACAGTAGATATTGGCTATGGAAATTCAGTAACTGGTTGTTTGTCTAATTCAGTTGTTCATGGTCTTCACTATGCAAATATTCTAATTAATCAAGTAAGCCTCTTTTTCATTTGATTTACAATGCCTTATTTTAATAGTTTCCTTGTCATGTTTATTTTGATCTACAGAAAAATATTGTATATAAAATATGTTTTAGCGCATCAGTCAAAGGTAGAATCTATCTTATGGTTATATATTATAAAAACGAGGTCCTCATCCCATTCTATGAAAAAAAATTGGTAATAGGAGAAAACTCTAAATGTAATATATTTTATATGCCTAGTCATTCTTTTCTATTGTCGTTGATAAACTACCACTGTGGTATGTGCTACTGATACCGAAAGATATAAGCAGTATGTGTCACCAATCGAAAGGCTAAGAACATCGAAGAGAAGAGAACGAAAACAGAGAATGATTGGTGTGGAAACGAAATCTGAGACAATTGATTGACATTTTGAAAATGAAGTATTGACTGTATGGTTCTCAGATTTTACTAAGACATTCTGTAATTTTGTATTCAAGTATATTTGGTTGTACCCACTACACTACTACTACTACGACTTTGGTATTCATTTTGTTTATTTTATTTACATCCTGATATATTGTATGGTGACTAAAACTAAGACATATATCCAACGATCTACGTTGCTTATTTACTGACTGGAATGACTAAGTGAATACTTAAACTGTCGATTATTTCAACATTCAGTGTTTGTGGATATATCAAATAAACAACTTTTATTCTATGTACACTTAAGACCTTGACTTAGATTTTAACTGTGTTGTACATTGACTGATTTCTTTTTCTGAAAGAATGAACTTAGAAACGTTGAAAACTTTAGGCAGTTATTTGTTGTATTATATAAGGAGAACCTTGGATCTGATTTATTGGCAGTAGGATTTATTTTAACTTTTAATCGTACTCTGTTTATGTACCGAAATTAATTGAAGTTAGTCTAAAATACTGTGTTATTTCTTAAGGCCCGTCAAATATCACATAACAAAATCGTCTATTTGAATACTGATTTCTATGACATTGTCCCTGTGTTAAACCAATAATGCGTCACAACAGCGCTAGCAGCCTTGGGTCAACTAGGAGTCCTTATAGATCTTCTTTTTATTAACTTCTCTCCTACCCCAGCCCGTTCGGTCCAGCACACAAATATCAGCCTCGATTGTATGAATCTTATATTTCGGACATCCGTTGTTTATATACGAGTAGACCAGACCGCACCACACTAAACTGTGAATTACAACTGTTGTATCAAAGTGGTTTATTCTAATCACCTTCCCAAACTGAATTATTACAATAGAGTTTAAATCATTGACTACATAGCTTAATGTTGTCTAGTTAAATAGTGTAATCATACTGTCACTATACTCATCTTCGTATTCATTCATTCGTTTTCTTTGGTGTACAATTTTTATTTATTTAGTTTTTCAGTTTCCCTGTTTCTTAACAAGTTTCTCTTGATTTCTAGCTTAAACGTAAGCATCCAGCTCGTTTATATGTAGTGGATTTATTCACAAATGAAGTCGGTGGTCGTTTAAGACCTTCATGGTCTGAACAGTTTTTATCTCAACTATGCTCAGTTCTGGATTATCTTCAACGTCTTGCGTACGCTCATTTACATCCAGGTAGACAGTGGAATTTTAAAAATTTGCAAACTCAAACTATTCCACTTTGGTTAGCTACTGAATTAAAAATAATGGCCCATGATTGTGGTATGCCAAGAAATACATTTCTCTCGTCACATATGACAGAACATACAACTCCTCTTCACAGTTCAATCAAATTTGATTCAACCTCTCAATGTGTTATGTCTACCGATTCTCAAAATGATGAAAAAGAGAAGTCAAAGTCCCCACAATCAAAATTGACTACCCGAGCATTCGCTTGTACCAACCTAAAACCAATCTTGATATTGCTTCTGAACGAGATGATCCTAAATTATCCAGTGAGCCACAAAAACAATCTGTTTTATCGCCAAACATTTCAGCTTTTCACGAAGTTGATCGGATAGCATCTGAAGTTTTGTCTGCAGAATGTGAAAAAGATCCATTTTTCAAACACCTCCGTGATACACTGTCTACTGAAATGACGAATTTACAAAATGAGAGCATATTGGTAAGGGACATAAAATTTGATAGAGTTAAGTCATTAGTAATTTGGACGAGACTATAATTTATGGGCGAACCAATCAGGTATAAGATAACAGGTCTCCTATTTTGGCGCGAAATTCACTCATCGATTCGGCAAAATAGAGTTCTGGCATTATAGCTGATGTCAGGTCGTGATGAAAACCCTAAATATGAATACTTGTCTTAACCGTCAACTGTAAATCGCAATTCGAAGTCCTCACACTGGTTTATAACCCTCGTTTAGTCCTAATTATTAGGTGGACATATGACGTCACTTTAGCGTCGCTCAAAGGTTGTCCATAAATTATAGTCTTACCGTAATTTACAGCGAAATAGTTTTATACACACATATCATAGCATCAAGTTAAATATACGATATCGGTTACATTTATTGCTTTGTGTAGAATATTTGTGCATTTAGATATATATGCTCTCATTTCGTTTTTCCAATTCTGCAAATAATTAAATGTGTGTTCGTTCCTTTTTTCCCTTAGTCTCTTATCGAGAAGCTGACACGACGTTGGATCCCAATGGTTGAACAACATGTAGCTAAATTACCTGTTCGTACTCATATTTCCAGTTACGGGGCAAAACGCCTATTAGAACTACCTAATATAGTCTCTCCTGTCAGTACACCTATTACGCCTTCGTCAAAATCAAATGTATCAAATGCACCACAACCATTTTCTGTTTTCTCTTCAATTCCGACATTTCCTTGTCTCGAACTCCCTGGGGAGTCAGGGCTTCTCCAGTCATCTGCCGTAAATTTAAGTTCAATGGCTAATTCCCATCATTCTCAAAACGAATCCAGCCAACAAATAGGTGGCTACATTAATAATATTCCTTTATATCTTCATGTAGCTGAAATTATGCCACACGTAGAGCGTATTCGTTGTTCATCTGGTGCATTTGCTTCACCTGCTCGTCGTATGGGTTTCCGCGCTAGTAATGGAAGGTTATTTTTTTACGATTTACCTTGTCCAAGTACTCCTCCAATCATGGATCTAGCTGTCATGCAGATAGATGCATTGAATGGTGCGAAATGTCATGAACTTCTCAATGCAATTTCTATTAATGAATCTACCAATCTTGAACACCTAACTGGAAAGGAATTTTGCCCATCGGCTTATATAAGCTGGAGACAGAGTGGTCCTCTTCAACTATTCCAGATGATTAACTCTGTATTGCTTGGACAGCCGGAAACAGCTAAAAGAAATCTCTCACTATTTGTTTCAAGGTAATAGTATTTTTCTGATGAATTTCATTTCCTCTTTGTAGTTTTTTTGCAATGTCTATATTTTAAGCGAATAAATACTTTATATCTATAGAATAGTTCACCTCATATGTATAACCTAAAAAGATGTAGCTAATTTATTTAATTCAAAATAAAGTTAACTAGACTTCAATAATTGAATTTCAACTATTTCCACCTTTAGTAACTCTCTTCTGATCTGGTTTATTTTTCTCTTCTGTAACCTGGTTATCTTTTACTGATTTATGAGATGAATTTTCTTGTAGAGCCAGATTCTGTATGAGATTCTGTGACTAGATGTAAATTCATTTCACGGTGGTGGCATTATCGTGGTAACTCTGAACCAGTTTTTTCTTTAGTCTATACCCAAGAATTATTTGATAGATTTCCTAACTAACTACTGTCGATATATCGCTAAGAACACTGAAACATCTTCACACATAGTTCGTACAGTATTCGCAGTTAATTCTCTCCGGAAAGATACAAAGGCACAATACCTTGTTACTTAAAGTGTAACGAAAAGGAACTCAGCATCCCATTGAATGTAATCCCTGGATACAGGGGGATTCTAGTAGGCTTGAGTCAGTTCCCAAAACTACCCCTAGTCCACAGTGTTCAAATTTCTCGTAGGATTTTTCGTGAAAATATTCTTTTAATTTTTTCCTTAATACTTTCTTCTGTACGAATTTATTAATATTTTGATTACTATATTCAATCCCAAAAACTTTGTGAAATAATATTTCGAAACTTCAAAAACATCACGATTACGGTGATACGGCTCGATCTCTCCATGTATACTTTTTTGTTTCATTGAAACATTTATGTACTACAGTTGTGACTAAACGAATTCTCTGTTCTGTATTTGTAGTTAAAAACGGTTTACTTATCGTTATGTCCAGTTAACAGTTTCAAATTAAAGACCAAGACTTAACTGACTTTGAATTAATCCCATGTTGATTATTGGTTCTTCCTTTCATTTCACTAGGCGAATGGAAGTTGGTCCTTCTGGACTTTACTTAACTCAATTTGGATCATCTGTATCGGCAGCGAATGTTAGTATAGCCAGTGCATGTCCTCTACCATCTGCAAACCCGGTAAATAATCGTAGACTTACAGCTTTAGCAAGACCGCCTCCTGTTGGACCCAGTTTTCCATCAACCTCCGTAGATGAGAATCCACCTAATCACGTTTCATCATCAACATCATTCTGTGAAGAAGCTTGCAAAAAATATTCTTGGTCTTTATCTTTTGTTGAATCTCATTTAACTCCACAGAATATCGATAAGAATCAATTATCTAGTCAAGGAATCTTGGAGTCTCTTAAGGTAAATTATCTATTCTTATTATTTTTTGTTGAGTTCGTAAATCGGTCTGCTCTGCAGCAACAAAAATGAAGTGCTTAACATCGAACAGAACAACTATATGTGTGTCACTAAACAATTTCTCATTCCTTAAGATTTATAGAATTGTTATTTTCCTCTATTCAATGAATTGTAGAAAATAATACGTAGTTGAATTTCAGCTCATATCTCCATGATAATTTTCAACAGTTAAGACATTCGACTTATAACCAGCAACGGAGTTCTAGGTTCAAACACCTCTATCACTCCACATACCTTTATTTAAATTGCTAAATAGTATCTATCTAGCTCTTTCACATGTAAACATTGTGAATCAATACTGATTAGGGAATGATGGTTAATCAGTTGATGAGGTTGTGAATCTTCATCGACTGAGATGGTTGGGCCACGTGTTACGTATGCCTGAACACCGATTACCACGACATGCAATGCTAACCGGTGTTAGAGATGGTTGGAAGAAAGTAAGGGGCGACCAAACCAAGACGGGGCATCATTGCTCGAAGTCACTAACTTTGTGTTCCGAGCCATGTTGGTAGATGCATACGACTTGGTTGGGGTCAAAGACTCACGTTTAGTTCTGTTTGGGGTTCGTCAACTGAATATGCCTGCATTCCAAAGTTGATGTTTTCTCGAGGATTCGAACCTAGTGCCGCTCGTTTCAGACACCAATGTGTTACCATTTAGTTACTGGGTCCGGATAGCCACTAGTGAATATCATTGATACTCTTATTCCATATACTCAAATGTATCCAATAATATATGTTGTGTTAACTGTAGATAATTAGGTGGTGTTGTATCTCTACCTACATAATATGTCTACAATCGATTTAAGAAAAGATATAATTTTGGATTCTTCATGATAATTTTGATTATAATTTGTGAGTATTTGACATCTCTAATTCCTTATTCCCTATAATCATGAAACTACATCTCAACATTTATTTATTTTATTTTAACACATAGATATTGGTACAAGGAGGCACCAAATACATATGCGCTACACAGATCTCATTTGATATGTGTGAGGGCTGTGATACTGCCCGGGTGCCCAGACCAAAGCAGGTGGTTTTCTTAGGGGGCCACACCCGGAGCCTTCGACCTGAAGGTCTGATCCACAAGGCAGTGGAACATCGTGGGGAGATACAGTCCCATGGTAGCCGGTGACCAATGATTGGTTCATACGCCATTTGTTCCTTCAGGATACTGAAATCCATGTGCACCATTGGTTTGGAATCAAGGTTTTCCAACTCCCCTAGGTGAACTCTCCATGACCATCAACCTGTTTAAAGCGCCGGACATTCGCTTTTATTCCTCCCAATTTCGTAAACAACAGTAATGCCACGAGAAGGCAGTGAGTAGGACTTTCCTGGCGGAGGCTATATACGCATGGCCATGTGAGAGCATTTCGAGAGGGAGAGCGGATTCTCTCCACTCTCGGCCGTACCAGGGCATTTGGCGGCGTCCATCATTTATTAGTACATAATTTGTTCATTTAAAAATTTAATGAAACATGTGTATCAAAATACAGCTTTTTTAAAAAGAGCTTTTAACTGATATTTTCTTTATTTGTTTTATTGAAACTTTCAAAGGCTCGAATCCGTATACCATCTCCTCCACCTGGACCACTACCGAATTTAATGACTGTTCAACCAACTAGCTTAGTTAATCAATCAACAGTTGTTGGAAGTGCTGCTATGGCTTCGGAGGCTATTGGACGTCCAGCTGGATTAGATGCTGGTTGTCGTTGTGTTTGTAATACAGTTTTAGGTATATTAGAAAAATCTAATTGTACATTATTGTTTAACTCTAATTACAAACAGAAATACAAATTTGATGATTTATTACAATCTATGAAATTGGAACATCAACAAGAAGTTAAAATGAAAACTAAATCTTCTTCTTCTGATAGAATTCAAAGCTTAATGAATTCTTCTGTTCTGAAAAATTCACCAACTGGTTATCGAAATTTGATTTGTTTATTTTATGAATATATTTCAAAACTATCCAATCAGAATGAAATTACAAATCATGATTTATTTAAAATATTTCTTGATCTTTCATCACGAATTCCACAGGCTCCAAATATTCGCGATCCTGTATTCTCAAAGTAAGTTAATAGTTAGTAGTACTATTAGTAGGATAGTGATTAATAATTCTTTTAAATTTAAAGTAAAATAACATTTATTGTTGTTACCTTATTTTCTGTGTACATTTTAGCCTTGGAACGTTTGGTAATGATGATGATGATTTAGATAATCAAAAGATAACTTTGGAATCTTTAAAAAATCAATTAGAATTTCCACGTGGTAAACTTCTTCAAAATTGGGCAAAAAATCAAATGCTTGATTCTGAAAGTTATTGGTTGTTACGCCGTAGTTTAGCACATAATCTTGGAACTTATGGGCTTATAGAACGATTGTTTCATTTAACACCTCTTCATCCTGGTTGTTTAGTGATTGATCCACGTTCTGGTCATACTGAAGCGCATCATGTCTGTTTTGGATTGCCAGGAGATAATTCTTCGTCAGAACAATCTCATTTGTTGAGTTCAGAAAAAGGATTTAATCAATCATATTTCATTTCTTGCTTTAATCAATCTATGCTTATACAGAAACTGGAGAAATCTGGTTAGTTAATATTTTTCATTTCCCCTAATTCACACTTTGACCCATATATTGTGTAATTAATAATTCTTTCTCTTCAGAGTGTAGAATTCACGGATAATATTGTTATCAGTATAGGTTTTTGTGGAGACTGTTCCAAAGATGGGCGCACCATCATGTGAATCGATTGAATTTAGATATGTATACTGTTGGATTCCGGCTCAGTGTTTTGGACGTTAAGCGTTCGTGCATGAGATTGAAAGTCCTGGGTCCAATTTCCTATAGATGGGTCGGTGATGCCTGCTGTTGAAGTTTCGTACTAGGATGAAACAGTTAAACAATCCTTCCTGGTTTTTAGTAGTGGTTTGACTAAGATCATCTCGTAATTCAAACTATAAAATTTTTATTTTTTTTTCTTGTATAAATACTGATTCTCTCTGAACTCTGACATAAATTTATCAGTTTTATTTACATGGGAAACATACCTGTATATCGAGGTCGCGTTGTTTATTCTTTCTCGATCAATATTCGCTATATAGCTGGTCCATGTATATATATCTGCTGAAACTTAGTTAATTGCTCTGGGGGCTTAGATTTATCTATTACAACTGAATCCCCGTACTTCAATTCAAGTAAATAAAAAATATCACTCGTCATTCAATAATTTAAGCGTATAACTTAATAAGTAAACCTATATATATATATATATATATATATATATATATATATATATATATATATATATATATATATATTCTTTCTGGAGTGTATTCATGTATATTAAATAATAAATCTGACGTGCTCTTATTACTTGGTAAAACCAACGTAACGTTTTCACTGTTTGCTGTCTCGATACTCATGCATAATGTTTTTGTACTAATCTTTGTGTCATGTTTGTCTATCCAGTCTGTATTAGGAAAAAGGAATTTTTTTAAATTTGTGTAGTACAATACCGAGTGATTTCAACTGCAAAATGCTGAGCCATAGTTATTCTTTCATTGTTTATAGTAGCATTTGTAATCATAATTCATAGTTGACAATTTTTCATGGTGCAGTGAACGAGAACACAAGTGGATAAAACGAAATATATTTTAACATGAAATTACAGTTATTTGGTAAAATGTAAAAAACCATACGTTTAATCCTTTATTTGCAAAATGTCCATTAATTGTCTCAGACTTTATTGTTTCTTCATTTCCATACCCATTACTTTCTGTCCCCATTTGCTTCTATTCGACCTTCTTAACTTCCTGCTGCTAGGCATTCCAGTTGGTGTTACGTACTACTTATATCTTTCGAAATAATGAGCACACGCCACAATGGTTTCTTTTTTTCATTACTTAAGTTCTCTTTCTGAATTACACGCTTTCAGCTGTAGATAATGAGCAAAACACAATGGTAATAGTGTATAGTGCATTCACGAATGCACATTATTTTGTATAGAAATGTATGTTGTTGATGAAATATTCACATCTCAATTTTCAGGTAAAAAACAATCTTCAAATATTCAGTTGTCTTCTAAAATCTCAACTGATTCTTCCACTATTGATGATCTTAGTGATAAATGGTTGAGTCACTATCGTCCAGTACCATTTCGTTTAACGCCACATTTAGCTGGTCTTGTTTGCTTACCTGGAGCTCCAGCAAAAGTTGGTCCTTTCGCAGCTAGTTTCACTACAACTGCACAAGCTTTGATGAATGCACCATATGATCATAGTTTAACCAGTCTTTATCGAACACTTTTACGTCGTGATTATATTCTATGGCATCGAGGCAGACAGTCTTCTATATATGCTTATCAATTACTTATGAGTGAGCAAGATGAAACGATTCAACAATCATCATCAGCATCATTAGAAACTTGTCAATCTTCATCATCATTTTCTGATGAGAATGAATCTTCAACATTGAATTATTGCCATTCATCATCACCAACTCTTGTACCAGATTTGACTAATGAACAATTAATCACATTGATAAATTGTACAATAGAATCTATGAATGGTAAATTAAAAGGTAAATTTTCTAATTGTATCATAAATTATGTCAAGTTGTTTTACTCTTCCCTTTTTTGGTTCTTTCAGTTTTATTGTATAACATAATTTGCTTCCACGGTGGATGTTAAAAAAAAGGGAAAAAAAAACTTAATGAACCATAAATCTGATCTTTGTATCCATAAGATAATTGTTTAAACTGTTGAAATATGAAACCTGACTATAAATGCTGAGGATTAATATTTTATTTTAATAAATAATTTTCAGCAGTATAACGATAAAGTAGATATTTTATACTTAGTTAATTTTAGTTAGACTAACTTACGTCGTTCGTTTTAACTTTTGTAATAATTAGAAAAGATTTATGGAGATTGGTTTAACTTTTAGGTTGTATTCGTCACTGAAAGCCAAGGAGCACTGGGTAATTGTTTTGTTGTAGTGTAAAACTCCACAACGATTTCAGTGCAGATCGAACTGCGAACAATCTGTGGTGAATGCAACCTACAAGTCAGACCAATCTCAAAACACCCGTTCAAATAAACTATGTTAGCTAGCGCATAATAACAGCAGCAGTTCTAGTAGAAGCTTGTGATTAGTTAGTTTAGAGATTTTGCGAGTGAAACTTAACGTTCAGGCCACTAAGTCGTGATCCATTGGTGTATCGGTTTAACTTTAATCACTCTGCACAGTCTAAATAAAGTATTTTTAATATTGTTGATTCATGAAATGCTTGCTTAGTTGTCAAAACTTACCTACTTCGCTCTAAGTGACTGACAAGTATCGTTAGCCTCATTCATACCGCTGATACGCAAGCACCTGGTGAATGAGTTAATTTACTAAAAACTTTGTGATTCACTGTATTATTATTCCAATACTGCTTCTGTTCGCACTAACATACATATTTATTGTATTCACTTAAATAGTTGCTTCTGACTACTCGGGAACTGAACCAAAATCATGGAAACTTATCGATGAAGCTACAAAACCTTCAAATTTAATTCACATGGATCCAAATTTATTACCTTGGTTGTAAACAATTTTATTTTTTTAGAAATTGTATCACATTTTATTTTTTGCATTTCTCTCCTCCAATATCATCATCAGGTCACTATGGAAAATGATCACCCGGTTTTGTTAAATTATCTTATTGTTTAAAATTCCATCTTTGTTTCTTTTCGTGTAAAAAAATCACCATGTTTTTGTATTGTTCGTTCTCCTTTCTTTTGATACTTACCGTAGAATTTTGAGATTTCCCTGTCTATTTTATTATTATTATTATTATTATTATTATTATTATTATTATTATTCATTGTCTTTAATGTTCAGTTGACTTTTTTCTGTCTATGTTCTCTCATGTCAATAATGTTATTGTTAATGTAAATAGTAAATGCTGATGTATTTAAATTCATTTTTATTGTTATTATTAAAAGAAACATTGACTGTGAGAGTATGTCTTCTAGTTCTCTACACTTCGTTTCCATCTGTTCATATTTTTGTCATGCATTTTTACATTATTTCGAATCATTTAAGTCACATCATAGTTAATTAGATTAGTAGTACGTTGTTGGCTTAGTTACTTTCTCGATGACTAAATGATGTTTTCCTCTGCATGAGCCTCAAAGGATCTCAGTTCGACCGCATGTCTTTGGTTTTACACATTTATGGACAAACATCTATGTGGTCGTGTTGGTTTCTTAGCTGATGTTATTTCACAGTTAAGCACTTTCTAATAACATTAAGTGTTCATTTTAAATAAAGTTCGACGGAATCGAACATCTTTCAATGTAAGTCCCTAGTATACTGTAAATGCTACATAAAATATCAATATACTATCATTACAAATTAACTAACCGTCTGGGATCACCGGGTAAGTAATAGTGAGGTTAGACACAGGGTATTAGGGAATGATGGTAAATCAGTTGATGAGGTTGTGAATCTTCATCGACTGAGGTGGTTGGGCCACGTGTTACATATGCCTGAACACTGATCACCACGACATGCAATGCTAACCGCTGTTAGAGATGGTTGGAAGAAAGTTAGGAGCGACCAAACTAAAACGTGGCATCAGTGCTTGAAGTCACTAACTTTGTGTTCTGAACCATGTTGGTAGATGCATACGACTTGGTTGAGGTCCGCGTGACTATCGTAACCAATGGTTGGAGACTCTGGGTGACATGGCTCAAAATCGATCACGATGGTGTTGGTGTATACACTCTCTGTATTCCCTTAAACTAAGAGATTGAAATCGCTTCATATCTTTTCCTTTACGAACTAATTCTTTTTTCCTGTACGATATCCTTATTGCAATCTTCCTTTTATATATTACCACCTCTGAATTAACTACTTTTATGAATTCGGTGTCCATCTTGTGTTAATGAGGTATGGCAACTTGAACCGATGCATATATGTGCCTGGTCCTACGTTGTAGCTGACTGACTGAACTAACCATCTCATCAGTTGAGAAATTCTTTCAATTATCTTAATTGGTTTAACACTTTATATTGTCAATGAATCAAGATTGATTTCTTATAGATACTGAGGTAAATTAGATGATACCATGTCGAAATTAGGTAAATGTTTTTTTCCACAAATGGTCGCTAAATAAATTTATTTAAAAGTTGTTTTTATCGGATCTTGGAATTACTGATATGTCACAGAAATTGAATTGAACAGTTGAATAAATAACATTTGTATATTATGAAATTTTCGTAAGGATCGACTTGCGAAATATTCATTGTCCGTTGATCGTCAACATACTCCTGTACAATCACACAATTTTAATACCCGAAAAAAAATAGATAAGAGTAGAAAATCTGTTATAAAGTAAATTCACTTAATAATAAAACAGTTAAAGGTATCATTCGTGCTATTAGTTGGGTTTAGTAATTAGATCATTTTCTTCATTCATTATTGTCGTTACTTTTATGAGTCGTGTGTGTTATTTCCGTGTCGTTTGTTAATTGTACCTGAATCACTCCAACTCGCACAACACGAATCAAGAACATTGAAACTGGTACACGTAAAGATTTATTGATCCCTGGACATGACGATCCTTGTCGAAAATATACATATATTGATTGTACACTCATTTTAATTATTAATTAGAATTCTAAAAAAATACCCAGAGTTATAACAGATCACGTACTGTATGTCATGCTGAGCATAGTTCATGTTAATTTAATACAAGAATATCTTATCTTGAAATTATATCACACATTAATCATTGTTATACCGAATAAAATATTGTTGGGATACTCAGAAAAATATCCCAAAAACAATTATCCGGTTAAGTCTAACGCTACCCTTGAACGTTAAATGGTGGCATTTCCCTATTGGTCGTTTCCCTACTGATCAATATTAATTTCGCGTGTCATTTTCTTAATGGTCAATATTATTTAACGTGTCACCTTTCTGTTGGTCAATATTTATAGTAATCCTAACTGTATAAATATGCATTTGTTTGTAAATCATTATTCTGCTGCTCCTGACCCCATAAACGGTTTTTCATCTACGGTTCGTGTTCTGATATATTGGAGATTGGGAACAGTATTGGGGTCTAACTCGGACATCTGAAGCTTGTCAATCGATAGAATTTAGAGTAGCCAACTCGCGATTCACAATAAATATCACACTGGAAAACAGAACAAGTGTTACTCAGAGTAATCGTCATATTGAATTAATAACGAAGTAATGTTGAATAAAAATCATACTGAATAGAACAATGTGATTTTTTCCTTCTCATCACGTCATATCGCTGGAACATTACATATATATCCACTCATACAAGTTGATGGTTTCCGAAGAATGACCACTCAACCAACTTTGGATTTACAGTTCGAATCCACTAGCCCGTTTATCGATTTCTGAAGTAATCTCATGCCTCAGTATTTTATATTTTATTCAATATCTTGAGACATGTGGAACATTGGTTCGGAAGAGAAGTTTCTCAACTCTCCTACGTGAATTAGACTGGTTTAAGCTCTGAATGTCCGCTTTTCCCATCTCACTTGTTTACAAACACCCTTAGCACATGGAGGAAGTGAATTCTTTGAGAAAGATCATAGAAATACAAGAAAAAATGTTTGTCCCCTCCCCAACTTACTATGGTATTTGGAATCCTCTCTTTTAGTTCCTTATTAAATCAATGAGTTCCAATTCGGATAAAATGGTTCCTACTGTTGTTCTTATCTTCGGACTGGAGTTCTTGTCAATTATATTCTACTTTTGGACAAATCATTCTTTAGCAAGTTAGAAATAATATAGGGAGTTGTTGAGTGTTCAGTTTGATACTTAGCACTGTCCGTTAAATAAAAATGAAAACCAGTCATCTAACTCATTACCCTTGAAAAGTATTTTCCCAAATCTTTAAACACTATCAATGCGATGTGGAGAGTACAAGATTAAGTGGTAGTTTGTGACCATAATGATGAATTTACTGTACAAACCCTCATGCACGCATGAAATGTAAACTTTCATCAGGTTTTAGAGTTTTTGACTCTGAACCAAAGTTTAAAATGACGTTAAAATTTGAGAAAACCATTTTTTAAAGACGTATTATGAATATATTCTTGAACTTTGGATCAGTCAGTAAAGTCTAAATACTAGAAATTCCCATCGTGAAATTGAGACAGTATGTAGCTTTACCATCGCACACCTAATTAACAGTAGTTATATATTAGATAAAACCAAACCATTTGGAGTAGTCCGTCGTATACCTTCATCGTTTCCCAATGGGGTTTAATCTTGTCCCCGACATACAACAGAAACTATAGAAATCCTTAACCTATAATCCTAGTTTACGCGTTAGAAAGGCATTCGTGTTATCTTCATCTCTTTCCTAGCTAGAAATACCCTGAAAAACAGTCCAACTAATTCTAAAAACCCCGTATCTCGATGTTCTCCACATCCCATTTATGTTCTACGCTATCTGATTATTAAAAATGAAAAATTGTTAAAGGTTAACAATATTTGATTACGATCTGAAATTATAAAACAATAAAAAAACAAAATTAAACTAGAACACTGCAGAAGGGAATCAGAGACAAGAAAGAATGAGAGGTTGGACGTATCCTTTTCGCACGCAGAGTTTGGGTCTGCATTGGTTGATCACCAACGTCTCACCAGTGCATAAGTATTCGATTCGGTTCCCTTGATTGTGTAGATTATTTTGAAGGAAGATTCCTTTGGAGCAACCTGACCATTGTTGATTAGATGCTGCTGTATTGAACGGGTGACTGTTTTACATTCTCCCTTTAAAAGCCACTCCGGGTAAGGATCTGAGATGCGTATGAATAAAGGTCGCTTTGTACGACCAATGTAACCTACCCCACAGGAGCAAGGAAATTTATAGATCCACATGGATGAAACTCAAATCCGGCTTGAGAAAACAATACGAAGCTTAGCTGCACAGAAAGTTTTATTCAGGGATTTTGAAATCCGTTTATTCAAGAGTTCGGGAGCCGTATCTCCCTTAAATTCAATATTCACAATAGGAGTTTCCTTTCGACCTGCCGGTGCTTTTCCAGGATTTTGTCTTGGTGTCAATTTCCTGTCTACAGATCTAGGTGGACAACAGTTTCTAATGAGCATCTGTCGAAGTTGAAGTAGTTCGTTGTCTATTGTTTAATGAGAACATATTCGCCTAGTTCTCGAGGATAAATAGTGCATTAAGTTTATCTCTCTATGCAATGATACTCAGCTATAGAAATTTGCATACCGATCACTCCAAGTCGGTGTTTTATGAATCGATGTAAATAACCATCCGACCTTCTTTTCAAAAAGTCATCAAGAAAATGAAACTTCTTGTTTGCCTCTGCTTTTAATCTAAATTGAATTGAGCGATAATTATTGAGTCGATTGAAATTTTCATTTTGGTCCATATCTTCTTCGCAAACACAAGGTCTGAAGTCGAGAACTTTATTTATTCAGTCTTCTATTATCAAATCAGCGATAAATACATTATAAATTCTAATTAAACGTACATATTAAACTTTCTAATCATCTAATAATCATTGGCTTTCATTACTCTTAACCAGAAATATTGTTCAACTTTGTTTGCCAAGTTATTCCCTATTTATTGTGTTCACATGACAAGGTAATCTTTAAATTTAAAAAACAACACTTACTTGTTAGTTTCTTGGATATTATTACATTTTATTCATTCCCTTTTTTTAAAAATTGATATGAAATTCCGATATTTTCGATTCAACCAATCCTGGGTCAGTTAAACGTGGCCAATCTTTTTTTTATATATATTATAAAATGTTTGATAATGAGTACAAATAA